TATTTACATGTGTTACCACTTCTTGTACCAACACCTGATGCCCCCATGAGGCTGTGGGCCCCACAGCTCCCAGTTCTAGTCCCCCTGGCAGGGGGGCACTCAGTGAATAGATAACTTTTTTACAAAGTACAACACTCACTGCATACCGCTGGTTGCCCAGGGCTTTGTGTGCATGAATTCTAACCTTCCCAACAGCTCTCTTTAGATGAGGAAACGGAGGCTGAAAAGTTGAAGTGATATGCTCAGCTTCCACAGCCAGTGATCAGGGAAGCTGGCCTGTGAGACCCAGAGGCAAGGGCATCTTTCCCATATCTCTGCTCTGCACATCCCAAAGGCAGACACCGCCAGCTAGAGAGATCCTACTCCAAGGCCCAGAGGCAGAGAGCCAAGGATGGGCAACTTGACAGGGATAGGGAAAGCTGGTGTGGGGTGGGGGGAGTGATGTCCACTGGCCACTCCCAAAATGTACACACTTCCCTGGCCTCTTGGGGATGTTGCAGTGTGATGGTAGCAGGTGAGAGGGCTGAGGGGTGGGGGAGGAGGGCGGTAAAGAGTAGGGTATTGACGACAAGTGTTCTTACCACCCCCCACGGAGGTGTGTGTGGCCCTTTCCTCCCCAGGGCAAGGGCCCTATATAACCTGGTCATGCTCGTTGCACTCATTTGCTATTCCTTAGCATCCATGTGCCATTCCTATGGCTGTGTATGTGTTGTCTTTCGCTGTGTGTCATGCATTTATTCGTGTTTTGTATGCAGTAGGTATTTGTGCTATGTTTCCGTGCACTGTGTTATTGGTGTACTTTGTTGCTCTGCCTGTTTGTCTGCCTTATATGTAAGTTCTGTTGCATATCGATACTGTGTCTCTCTCCTTGATTGTATCTGTCTACACTCTGTGGTCGTCTATGGTGTGTTCGTGTCATATATGTGGTGTGAGCTTGTGTCTGCTGTGTGCGCTGGATATGTTTCTGAGTTCTGCTCATGCTGTGTCTCCGTGCTGACCGCGCAGCCAACGCAGGGTGGTGCAGTTTTTTAGGTTGCGTGAATCCTGTTTGGGCTGCCCTGGGTCGTGTCCATGCAGTGAGTCCGCACCTCCCCGCCATCTGTGCCAGCTGTAGGTCCGTGCAGCTGCAGGTCTGTGCCAGCTGTAGGTCTGCCGCCGCGCGCAGAGCCGCTTCCTCGGCAAGTGTGCGCTCGCCGTGAGCGCCCGTGCGGGGTTTGTCCCGTGTGTGCCCGCGCCCCGCCGGCGGCCGCGTCCCGGCTGGGTCCCCGCGTCCCGCTCCCCCGCGGCTGTGCGCTCGCCCGGAGGCGGCGGCGGCGGCGGCGGCAGATGCGCGCCGGCGGAGGGCGGGCGGGGGCGGCCCGGGGCGCGCGGGCGGGCGGGGCGGGGGCGCTGCAGGGCCCCGCGGCCGCGGGCTCCAATGGCGAGGCCGGCGCGGGCCCCGCTAATTACATAAGCGGGACGTCAATAATTCGCGGGAAAACGCGAAAAAGATGGCGCCCCGCGCCCGGGGGGCCCCTTCCTGAGCGCCCCGGCCCCTCCCTGCCCCTCCTCCTCCCCCCTCCTCCCCACGGCGCCCCCGCCCCGCCCCGCCCCCGCCGAGACCCCGACCCCGGCCCCGCGAGCGGACACTCGGCCAGGCAGCCGCGGGCCGGGCGCTGCCGTCTCCGCCGCGGATGCGCCCAGTGGCCAGACTCCCAGTGGGACCGGCGGACCCGCGGGCTCGCGGTAAGTGGAGGGGGCCGGGGACTCGGAGCGGTACTCTCTGCCTGCACACAGCTCTCTCTCCAACCTCCCCGGACGCCGGCTGCGAGCGCCTCGGGGCGGGGGGAGGGGGTTGGCGTCCCGGGGAGCCGCGCGCCTGGGGAAGGAAGGGGGGTGACCGGGGTCTGCGGCGGGAGCTCGGCCCGGGTCCCGAGCCTTTGCGGAGCGTGGGTGACAGGTCTCTATCCCTTCGCCGTAAACCTTTCCTTCTCCTGCTCCTTGGGAGGAGCGGGGCGTAGGCGAGACCAGCGGGTGCGTTTGGGATTTTGCTCACGTCCGAAGTCAGGCTGCGGCGGATTGGGGAAGGGGGCGGCTCAGCGTCCCAGAGACTGCAGAGAGGAGCGCTGGTCCGTAGGGGGTACTCCTGCAGCTTTTTTCCTCCCCTCAATAACCTTTTTAAAAAACCCAACGGCCGCCTTGGGAGAGGCCCCGGCGCATGAATCATCCTCGCTTCCTGCCCCCGCCTGGCCCCGCGCGCCGGTGCCGCGGATTTGAACTGGACGCCGACGGGAACCCGCAAAGAGGCACTCTTTGCAGATGGGTTTGAATCAGCCAATCACAGCCCACGGGGGCCCGCTCCGGGGGGGATGAGACGCGCGGGGGTGGGGGGCGCCACCCGGGGGCCCCCTCTCCCCGCCGGTGGGGCGGGGGCGAGGCGACCCCGCTGGCTCCGGGCGGCGCTGCGGGGGAGGAAGTGTCAGTTTGTGAACCTGCAGCGCGCGGCCCCGGGCCCCACGCATGGCGGGCGGGACCTCGCCGAACTGGGGAGTCAGGTGGTGGAGAAAGAAGGCAGGGATTCGGACCGAAGGCTCTGCTCCCTGGACTGGAGAAAAGAGAGGCGTGGGGACAGAGGGGTGGACGGGGTGGCCGCGCCCCTGTCTAGAGAGCCAAGACCCCCGCAGTGCCCTTCCTGCCAGGGGCCCCTGACGTGCCATACACACGTATTTAGCTTCATATGCTCCCTGGCATACTGTTGTGAACATCCAACCAGTCTCACAGGGGTACACTCTCAAACGGAAAATGCATGGGACTCTCTCCCTGTGAGGAGATAATCATAACACCAGGTGCCCAGCGCCCTGGCGGAGAGGGAGGGGTGCAGGGACAGTGGGAGGCGGTGTTTGGCTTAGGGGAGAGCGTGTGGAGGGGCTTGCAGGCAGGTGAGGACAGAGGGGGGCGGAGAGGGTTTTGGGATGGGGGGGGGGCTTCAAATGCCATTGAAAGCATTGGGAGTCACAGAGGTTTCTGGAAGAGAATAAGAAGATGGGAATTGGCCCCCTAGGAGAGTCTGGAGGGGAGGCAGGAAAGCAAGGAGTGGCTCATTTTGCCCTGGGCGCTGGTGGTATAGTTCCCACCCCCAGCTGCCCAGGACAGGTGAGCACAAGGCTCAGGAAACAGTTAGTATTGAATGACTCAATAGTCCAGGCAGGTGAGGCGCTAACTCAGACCAGGACAGAAAGATGGAAAAGTGGGCGGAAAGTCACTGTGTGTAAAGTTGGCAGCTGTGGCAACTCATCGGTTGGAGAATTCTAATGTGCTTGGGAGTTTGGGGGACCCCAGTAGTATCATTCACAGGAAGAGTGAACGCATTTTATAGGCTAGGGAGAAACAGGCATGGAGAGAGTGGGATTCCGAGCAACTCTGCATCTGAGTAAAAGCATAAGTAAGTTTAAATGTCCCAGCACTGGTTTCCATTAAGTCATCCCATAATTGAAAGCAGAAAGGGAGATTACAGAAGACACAGATGGTCGAATCTACACCAGTTCACACACAAGCCACACGGGTGTTTTCCTTTCTGGGTGAATTTTCTCTGCCAGCTCTCAGGAGTGAAGAGTATAAGGTCCCCCCAGAGAGCATGCACTGTACTTGCTTATGGTGGTGATTGTCGACCCGTTTAGCACAAGAATTTTTAAAACATGTATTCCCTGACCGGTTAGTCAGGGGCACGGATCTTCCCTTAGATTGTCAAATTGTAAAATTGACCACAGGGGTAGGGGAGGTGGAGGAGGGTCTGGGATGATAAAGGTGACAGAAGATTTGGCTTGGATAGTGAACACACTACACAGGGTACAGATGATGTGTTATAGAATTGTACACCTGAAACCTATATAATTTTGTTAACCAATGTCACCCCAGCAAATTCAATCGAAGGGAAAAAATGACAACAGCCAACACAAAAATAGCCTTCAGGTGTAAATACCTTGAATTGAACCATAAATATAATAGAATTTGCATCTTATTGGTCATGATGCATAATCAAGTTGGGTCTGATTAGTTAATTCTTGGTACCAGAAACAAGGATAGGCACCTGATTTTTTATTTTTTAAAATACATCACTCAAAGATGTATTTTTACTGATGAGAGAGAGAGAGAGAGAGAGAGGAAGGGAGAGAGAAAGGGGAAAAAAATCAATTAGTTGCCTCTCATACCTACTTTGATCAGGGATCGAACCCTAAACCTGGGCAGTGACCTGACCGCTTTTGGTGCACAGCAGGACACTCCAACCAACTGAGCCACAGGGCCAGGGCCAGGCACCTGACTTTTTAAAAAGTCACTTTGGAGCAAAAGGATAGGTAATTACTACTACCATTATTATTATCATTTACTGTTATTTGATGATATCATTATTAATAAATTTGATGATATTATAATGATGATATTATTTACAGTTATTTTGGAGCAAAAGGATAGGTAATTACTACTACCATTATTATTATCATTATTTTGTAAACCAGTCAAAATTATACCTATTTTTTTGTTAGATTGGCAAAAAAAAAAAATTTTTTTTTTTTTTTTTTGGTATGCTGCAGAATTTTAGTAGTTAGTTTATGTGTGCCATAAGATTAAGAAGGATGAAAATCACCGGCTTAAAGGATAAAGCTTCAGGTTCCTAAGCCAGAGAGAGTGGTTCAGGCCCGACCTGGAAGTCTGCTCTGTGGTTGGCTGAGAGATTCGTATCTGTAGAAGGCAGTGTGGTAGAGGTGGGAGAGGTAGGTTGGGCTCACCTGATCATGAGCCATGGCTCAACCTTGGACTTCCCCTTGCCAAAGCCCAGTTTTCCAACCTGTAAAATGGGAATGATAGTGTCTCCCTTGCAGAATTGTCCTGAAGATCCAGTGAGATAATAAAAGCATCTGGCGCATGCCACACATTACATACATGATGGTTCCCTTCCTGCTCCAGTCACTGAAGCGAGGAGTAAAAAGCCTGTTCTCTTTCTCTTCCAGTAAGAGTGGAAACCAATGGAGAGTCGAGCTCTGGACCCAGGGACTCGGGACTCCTATGGTGCCACCAGTCACCTCCCCAACAAGGGGGCCCTGGCCAAAGCCAAGAACAATTTCAAAGACCTGATGTCCAAGCTGACGGAGGGCCAGTATGTGCTGTGCCGGTGGACAGACGGACTGTATTACCTTGGGAAGATCAAGAGGGTAAACCTTTTCTCCCTAGCCCCTGTTCCCAGGCTCAGCATTTCTCTGCTTATCCTATGGCCTAGGCTGGTGATGGAAAATGGGGGATTGCTGGGAAATTCCCTTCTTGTCCCTCATGCTCAAAAGCTGAACATGGAAGAAGCTTTTGCAGGTGCCATTCTTAGCCTTACTATCATCCAACCAGTTCTTTAGAAAAGTGCCTTTTGAGCCTACAAAGCAAAATGGAGTAAGGTTGGAAAGGATCACAGAGGACTATGACTTGTTCTGTCCTCAACATTCTCACCAAGTCATCCCTCGGTCCCTGACTGTACAACTGCAGTGGCTGGGTATGTACTACCTCCAGGAGCTGCCATCCACCTTCCCTCTGGCCCACCTCTCCTTTCTTGAGCACAAGGAGGGGGTCACATTAATCTCTGTGTCCTGTAGGGACAAAAACGGGAGAGGAAGACCATGTTCTACAGCTTCTCCCCAGCTACTTGCTCACATTGCTCCTTCCTCTCTGTGCCCCAGGTCAGCAGTTCCAAGCAGAGCTGCCTTGTGACTTTTGAAGATAATTCCAAATACTGGGTCCTGTGGAAGGACATACAGCATGGTGAGTATTTCTTAAGGTTTCAGACTCCCCTGTCCCACCCACCCTCTGTCCTCTCTCCTCCTCCACATCTGTTTTTTTCTTCTCTTCTTTGGTCTCTTATTCCTGGTATCTGATCTTGTCCATGAACCCCCAAGTGCTCCTGAGATGCCAATCAGATTGTCAGTTGTACATTTTCAGGAAAAGGCCCATGACATTTGTTATCCTCTGTGCCTTGCCAGCACAGCCAAGGGTTCAGCGAGCCTGAGGGAGGGCTAGTGAAGGATGAAGAAAAGACAGACAAAGAAAATAAGCTGGGTCTAGGTGGATCTTCTGTGCTTGGCTGAGGTGGCAGAACAGATCCAGACTGCAAAGCTGATGCTTTATTTATAGTCAGGGGTAAACAAGGTAATTTACAATGTTCTTGTAAGTTTCACTTGTTTTGACAGCACTTGCTGCACCACCCACAGCCCATTAGCTTCCCAGGAGAGATCTAGGGAGCAGTCACAAGATCAAGCTTAATTATGCTTAGAGAACTGTGCCCTCCAAGCTGGGACTTGTTTTTGGCTTTGCCAGTAGGTCAGTCTGAGGCTTAACCCCATAACCACTCCCTACAATCCCCTTGAGTACCCATGCTTTCAAGGCCAGCGATGGAGAAAGGGGCTCAGAAGCTGCTGGGAGCAGAGTGGGTGCAGGCCTGTATCTGTCTCCTTGCTGCCCTTCATCTCCTGATGCACAAAGCTTGGAGTCTCTCTGGGTTAGGAACAGGGAGGGGCCCAGGCAATCGGAATTGTCATCTCTGGATGAGCACATCCTACCAGCATATGAAGAAAACTAGTGGAGGCAGCTCTCTCCATGGGGAAAGAGCACCAAAGCAGAGAGGGGTCAGGCAGGAGAGGATGGACATGCCAGTGGAGCAGGACCAGCTTTCACAGTTGAAAGGGAGCTTGGCTGGGTATCACCCCTGCCCTCCGAGAGTTGACTGTCTTAAATCCTGGCATTCTTGCCACCATTCTCCCTTCCTATGCCCATGACAGACATCACTAATTAGTCACAACACTCATATATTTTCAACATGGACCTCCCAACAGCCTGTGGCCATTCATGCTCAAACAGGAGAACAGATGTGATGGTGGTGGAGTAGGGAGGCAGGCTTCAGGAGATCTAGCTCTTCCACTTAATAGCTGCATATCCTTGAGCAAAGGAACTAATCTCTCTCTCTAACCCTCAATCTCTTCATTTAAAAAAAAAAGAGAGAGATGCTGAAAGTACTGACCTCACAGAGTAGTTAAATGAGACAATCCACCTAAAATGCTTAGCCCAGAGTTATAGGGGGGCAGTTCCTAAAGAATATGTTATCATAAGAGATGATTTCAAAGAGCCTGCCAAGTAGGAGCCACAGAACCCAGGCAGTCAGTAATGTTTCTAAATTGTCTTTGCCTCCAAAGGGGTGTGTCTAGTGCAGACTGATTCTCCTCCAAACCCCTCTTACCTCAATCTATACTGATAAAAGGGTAATATGTTAGTTAGACCAGACATCCTTCTGGACAAAGCCATAGTGGTGGAGCCAGCAGTTAGGGGTGATGAGGCTGACAGGGAGAGCAATTATGGAGATCAGCCAGCAGGGAAGAGCAGTTAGAGGGATCAGGCCAGCAGGCAGGAGAGCAGTTAGGAGCCAGTGGTCGTGGATTTCGAGAGGGATGTATGATGCCGATTTGTGATAACATCCCCTGAGGGGTCCCAGATTGAAGAGGGTGCAGGCCAGGCTGAGGGACACATCCCCTCCCCACCACCACCACTGCACGAATTTCGTGCACTGAGCCTCTAGTTTATCACATAAAGATACAAAGCAATAAGGACCTCCTCTCCTTGTTCCCCTCTTATTGAAAGCACAGGGAGCCAGCTGCTAAGGGCAGACAGTTCACTTTAGGAGGCCCACTGTGTGCTCACCTGGGGAATCACTTGGCTCCTCCAGATACCTGCTCTTTGCATGCAGGGCAGGAAGGCAGCCTCTGGGGCGTCTCCCAAGATGGGAGCACAAGGCTGAGCACATCATAGGTATTGATCCATCGCTTCAGGAAGCCCAGGACTTGCTGAGACCCACAAAGTGTGAGATACTGAGGAATAAGAGATGAGAGCATTTACTCAACAAACATGCGTTGAACATGGGCTATACACCGCACACTGTATGAGGTCCTGGGGACACCTTGATTCACAGATACCATTTCAGTCTGCTAGTGGAAATAAGACAGAAACACACATTAACATGCACTTAATGTATTCACTCACACCTTTCACACATAAACACATGTTTCTTTTTCAATAGAAACAAAAAAAAAATGCAAAGGAAAAAAGATGGAGAGGGAACCTATAGTTTAAAAGCAATCGAACAAACAAAACTGTATGACACTTATTTGAGACAATTGGAAATGTAAATACTAACGGAAGGTATTGATATAAAGAACTTATTTTTAATTGTGCAATAAAGATGCTATCCTAGATTTTATTTATTTTTTTCCAAAAAAAAAACAGTTTTAATCTTTCAGAGATACATACTGAAATTTTTTGGAAATAATTGGGTATCTGAGACTTGATGCAAAATAATAGCAGGAAGCAAGTGGGAATATTTTCAAAACAAGATTGCCTATGAGTTCATAATTGTTAGTGAGAGCACAGAGTTTAAATTGTAACATTTATAAAAAAATTTTTTTAATATATTTTATTGATTTTGTGCAGAGAGAAAGCCAAACCGGTTTCGGTAACATTTGTAAAAATTAAAAAAAATATATTTAACATAAAAACTGCTTAACAGCCAAAACCGGTTTGGTTCAGTGGTAGAGCGTCGGTCTGCGGACTGAGAGGTCCCAGGTTCGATTCCGGTCAAGGGCATGTACATTGGTTGCAGGCACATCCCCGGTAGGGGGTGTGCAAGAGGCAACTGGTCGATGTTTCTCTCTCATTGACATTTCTAGCTCTCTATCTTTCTCCCTTCCTCTCCGTAAAAAATCAATAAAATATATTTTAAAAAATAAATAAAAAATTTAAAAAATTAAAATAAATAAAATTTTTAAAGAAACTAAAAAAACTGCTTAACAAATCAAGTTAAATCAGGCAGGAGAGGCAGCATGATATGGTCAAAAGACCAAAGGATTTGCTGTCAAACAGATATGGGTTTGAATCCCACCTCTCCTGCTTACTTGTGGATCAAGGAACTTAACATCTCTGAGCCTTCATTTCCCCAATTTTAGAATGGAGTGATGACAACAGCACCTCAGAGTGGTTGGGGAGAATCTGTGAGCTGGCATGTGGGGCCCGATTCAAGACCCAGCACACAGAGGCTCAGCACCTGGAATGTGATTTTAAAACTCCCAATTCCCACCAGCCAGACCCACAGGGCTTCTCTCTTCCAGCTGGTGTTCCAGGGGAGGAGCCCAAGTGTAACATCTGCCTGGGGAAGACATCAGGACCTTTGAATGAGATCCTCATCTGTGGCAAGTGTGGCCTGGGTGAGTGTGATGAGCAAGCCCCCTCCCCCTGCCCCCCAACCCCACACACACTGGTCCCTGGCAGGCAGTGCCTCAGACTGCTGGGGCCTCAGCTGGCTTCCTGCTTCTCTCAGAGCTCCAGAGGGACAGGGGCCAGTCTCGGGGAGTGAGGTCGCAGGGAAGTGACCCTTGGAGAGAGCTGGGGGTTTGGAAAGTGAGACGAGTTATGAAATTGAGCCCTCCTGGGTGGAGAGCGTAGGTGGGAGAGATGAGGCACAGAGGCTGAAGTCAGACTTTGGTGCCTCCCCCCCTTCCTATCCCCCATCCCAGGGCCCAAGCAGCCTTTTAGTCGCCTGCTTGGACACCAACTTGGCTTGCCTTGGTGAGAGCATGACCAGCCAGTCCCCTGCCCGGCCGCCTTTGGGCTGACAGCCTGGGGCCACAGCTGCTTCCTTGTGGGCACCCACCACACTCCTCTGTCTAGGTTACCACCAGCAGTGCCACATCCCCATCGCAGGCAGTGCCGACCGGTCCCTGCTCACACCTTGGTTCTGCCGACGCTGCATCTTCGCGCTGGCCGTGCGGGTGAGCCCCTTGTCCTTCAGTCCCTGCCTCTCCCCTCTCCAGTCACGGGGTCCAGCGACTTTCTGAGCTCAGGCCTGACTCGGGGACACAGAGCCAACGTTTTGGAGGCAGACAGCGCCTCTGCCACTCACTGGGCCAGCTTCCTTAGCCTTTCTGAGCCTCAGTTTCCTCCGCAGTTGAAATGGATGCCAGTTTGGTGTCAGGAGGAGGAGGAGGCCTCCAATAAGCGGAGTCTTCCTGTTAAAAGAAAAAGTCATGGATGTGCCCATGCTCACTAGTTATTGCTGTTACTTGCATTGTGCTTGTTAAGGCAGACCTGGGAAAGGGAGGGGATGGATTTTGGATTCTGGGGAAAAGCTCCTTGGGTCTGACTGTGTTGGCATATCTGCGGGTCCCCCTAGTGGCCATTTCCCTTGTGGCCCAACCGGGACCCTCCTCTCTCCCGCAGAAAGGCGGCGCGGTGAAGAAGGGCGCCATCGCCAGGACGCTGCAGGCGGTGAAGATGGTGCTCTCCTACCAGCCCGAGGAGCTTGACTGGGACTCGCCCCACCGCACCAACCAGCAGCAGTGCTACTGCTACTGCGGCGGGCCCGGAGAGTAAGGCCGGGCGGGGCGGGCGGGCGGGCGGCCGGCCTCCCAGACGGCTGGGATGCGGATGCGATGCGAGTGGGGGCAGGGGGGGCGGGGCCACAGGGGAGGGAAGGCTTCACCTCCATCCTCAGCCCCCACCCCCGGTGGCTGTGGCCACCCGCCTGTGGGCCGGCCTCTTGAGTGGGCTAAGCCCGTGGTCAGCAAACTACGGCTCTTTGGACCCTTGAGTGTGGCTCTTCCACAAAATACCACGGCCTTGGCTGTTCCGATGGTAGTGGGTTATCAGAACTTAACTAAAGTTAGTGTCACTAACCCCCCCCTCGCCCCCCCCATTGCTAAACTTGACTGGCTTAAAAAAACAAAATCAAAACACAGCCTGGGCACGTCCATTTCGAAGAAGTGGCGTCAGAAGAAGTTTAAAGTTTAAAAAATGTGGCTCTCAAAAGAAATTTCAATCGCTGTGCTGTTGATATTTGGCTCTGTTGACTAATTAATGAGTTTGCCGACCACTGGGCTAAGCGATCTGCGGTTTAACTAGACCCCAGGTGATTCTGATGCTAGTGGTCCATGCATCACACCTGACAGGGTGTGAACAAAGCATCGGCTGTCATTAAGGGAATACCTCTCTGCTGTTAGCTTATCTTCAGGGAGTGTTTGCCGAATAGCCATGATAGGCAGGTACAGTCCCAGGCGAGAAAAACCAGGCATGGTGCTGCCCTGTTGGTTACAGGAGCCACCTTCACCCTGTCAGTGGAATCTGACAGGGTGAAATGTGTGGGGCGCAGCGCAGAGACGGGGACTCCGTGTGGCATGGTGGAAGAGGGCTTTGTAGCCAGGCAGGCCAGGATTTGAATCGCCAGCCACCACTTGTGTTCTGAGCCACCCTGAGCAAGCCATTTACTCCCTGACTCATCTATAAAATGGGGATAGTAGCCCATCCTGAGCCCCAGTGAAAGCATGTGCCCTGCTTACAGGACCGCCCCTGGCACAGCCTGTGGCTCGGTAACAGTTCCTTCCCTTACCCCAGCGGAGGGCCAGTTTCTGTTGGGAAGGGTTGCTGAGGCTCCTCTCTGGCTGGAGGGGTGGGCCCAGGTGACCCTGGCTCCTCCTCCTTCCCAGGTGGTACCTGCGTATGCTGCAGTGTTACCGCTGCCGGCAGTGGTTCCACGAGGCTTGCACCCAGTGTCTCAATGAGCCCATGATGTTCGGAGACCGGTAGGTGCTAATCTGACCTGGCTCAGCCTTGGGTGTAAGGTAGGGAGGCGGGGAGAGCAGCAGCAATTCCTTCAGACTATGTGCCAGGCTCTGGTGAAGTGCGGGGGACGGGGGTCTCTATGAGGGAAATCTTCCAACAGAGGAATATTCTGGACCACATCCTAGTCGCCATTGATTTGCGGGGGATCTTAGACAAAGCCCTACCTTCTCTAAGCCCTGGTCTCTCTCAGTGTCTGTGGAAGGGGGAGTGACCCAAGCCCCGTCCCATCCTGCCCAGAGGTGCTTCTAACCAGTGGGGCTGAGCTCATGGGAGGCTTAAGTGCATCAAACCAAATATGTGAGCTGGGGTGCTGGGGTGTGTGTGTGTGTGTCTGTGTGTCTGTGAGTGTGAAAGGGGAGGAGCGTGACCACTGCAGCCCAACCCAGCTTGACCAACTCTCTCTGAACTCAGCCACATTCCAGGGCAGTGACGCTGGGGAAAGGGGTTGAGGTAGGGGTGAAGGGGTAGGGGAGTATTTCTTGGTCTCTGTCCTGCCCTGTCCTTACCTCTGCCCCCCTGGGCCTTCAGCCCTAGGAATGAGAACAAGCTGACCATGGGAAGGCAGTGGGAGGTGAGGGGGTGAGGGGGCTAGATTAGGGTGGGGTGTCAGAGCCTCACCCACCACAGGCCCCGTCTCCACCTGCCCACAGGTTCTACCTGTTCCTCTGCTCCGTGTGTAACCAGGGCCCAGAATACATCGAGAGGCTACCCCTGCGATGGTGAGAGGATGGGGCTAGGCCCAGGCGCCCCTGCCTCTCCTGGATCTCCCCTCCCCCCTTCCTCCAGGAACAATTCCACTTCCAACCACCAGGCCCCAGCTTTGCCCCTACCCTCGAGCCCTGACCTTGGCCTGCTGCCTCACCCCAGCCCCACCTCCTTGCCCCTGCCCAGGGTGGATGTAGTTCACCTGGCCCTTTACAACCTGGGCGTGCAGAGCAAGAAGAAGTACTTTGACTTTGAGGAGATTCTGGCCTTTGTCAACCACCACTGGGAGCTCCTGCAGCTTGGCAAGGTATGCAGGAGGTGGGACGGCAGAATGGCAAGAGCCCACACCACGGTGGGGTTACCATGGTTCCCAGGGTCACACAGTGGGGGTTGGGATCCAGGTCTCGGAGTGCTCGCTCTTATACTGCTGGCTGGGATTAAGACCCGGTGCCTCTGAGCTGCTGTATCCCTGAGTCCACGCCTCCTCTGAGCCTGTGCCTTGCAAGGGGCTTCCTGAACGAGATTTTGACAGTGGGCAGATCAGGACCTCACAGACTTAGCTGCAGGGAGCAAGGGATTAAGTCTGGCTGAAGCAGGACCTAGCTGTTTGATTCACTCCAGACTACCTGGCTAGGATGGAAAGTGAAGTGGGCCTGCCCCCTGCTGGTCCTACTTTGAATAGCAGAAGTGGGCACCACGGGAGTTTCTGGATGTCAGAGGTGGAGAGTGACTTGTCATTTGGGGCTGAGCCAAAACTAGAGCCAGGGCCTCCCCAGCCACTTCCACGGTGGGGCCGGGGCCGTGTCCCCCTTAGAGGGCGGCATCTTCTCTCCTGACTGCCCCAAGCCCTTCTTTGATGAGATAGGGTTTCTTAAAAAAAAAAAAAAAACTTTTTAAAAAAGGTTTTCATATAACATCTTTATTTACAATGTTTGATCATTTATAAAAGACACAAGTGTTATAAAAACCCTAAAAGATAGGTAGAACTGGTATATTTTTAAAACAACATTTTTTGCTGATTAAAAAAAAAAATCACAAATGCTCCTAGTAGAACAGTTTTAAAGTATCAAAAAGCATAAGGACGTATGCTTGTCAGAAAGCCATCCATCTTCCCACATCACACAACCCAGAATCACATTTCCTTCCATCCTCTCTTCTCTGTGTACTTTTTCTTTTTACGTGGTTTAGATCACACAGTACTGCAAATACCCCTTCCCAGTGTTTATTATATCATAAATAGCTTTTCGTATCATGAAAAGAGTCTTCAGAAACGTTTTAAAGGCGGCGTTGATTTCCATCGTAGTTTCCCTGTCTCCTTCCCGTTGGCCCAGCCTTGGGAACAGTGCTGCTGTGGACACTTTGCACAGAAAGCTCTGTCTGTGTTTCATATTACGTCCACATGGTAGAGTCACGGAGTGGCATCACCGGGTCAAGGGCATGGGCATCTTTAAAGCTCTGGATCCATTTAAGACAGGAGTTCCTCTCCCCAGTTACAGGGAACTGAGCTCAGGTGAAAACACTTGTCTGGGGCCGTGCAGTAGGTCACTGGTTCTCACCTGGAGCACTCAGGAGACTGGGGGAGGGAGGTGCTGGGTGAAGACCTCCCCCGATGTCATAGGCCAGGGTCTGACTGTCCTGCTGGCCTGCTCCCCCATAGCTCACCAGCACCCCCGTGACGGACCGAGGGCCGCATCTCCTCAACGCGCTCAACAGTTACAAAAGCCGGTGCGTGCAGGGGAGGGAGTGCCGTGGGGCCCCCCACAGGTGGGATTTCAATCGAAAGGTTCTTCCTACCTTGTAGCCTTTGCTCACGCTTGCTCCCTGCCTGGTCTCCTGCCCCTTCTCTTTGACTGGACAAACCTACCTGTCCTTCAAGATCCAGGGAGACACCCACCTCCTCTGTGACGTTTCCCCTGACCCCCCCAGCAGCGTGACACATTCTTGTCTGGGGGCTGCCGCCCTGACTAGCCATCTAGGTCTGGGCCAGGCTCTGAAGGATTGACTCACCATCTCTCAGGTGAGTCAGTGGCTTCCCAGCCAGACTTTTGAGTTCTTCTCAGAACCCACAGCTGCCACACCCCTCACTACCACCACGGGGAATGGTCAGGCTCCTTAGCACTCCATTCATGGCCCCTATGAGACCTGCCATGCCTTCTGCCACTGCCCTTTGCCTTATTTATTCTGGATGTCAGCCATCCTGGAACCTTTGCTTCCCCGTTCTTGCTTTTGCGCACATTCTTCTTTGCCATTCATTTGTTCCATCAACAACTATTATATCGAGCTGCTGCTCTGTGTCAGCCCTGTGTAGGCATGAGGACTCGGTGAGGATAAGCCCCGGTCCCTGCTGCTATCCGACGCTGTCTCCAGACATCACTAGGCAGTCTTACCCACTCTCTCTCCCTCCTTCTCACGGTTTGGGGCCCAGACACAGCCCTACTCTGAGTCCATGAGGCTCGGTCCTCCCGGGGACAGTCTCCTGAGGAGGATAGGGCTGTGACTGAGTCCCCTCTGCAGCCTCAGAGCAGCCCTGGGGGTGTTGGAAAGATGAGGGCAGTGCCTGGAGGTGCTTTCAGTCTCCTTGTGGAGAGCAGAGAGCAGAACGGGGCTCCACTCGGGGCTGGAGGAGGCCTTCCTAAGGAGGAGGCTTTGGGGCTGGTTGAGGCGAAGAAGAAAGGGGAGAGGAAGAGCAAGAGCCCCCACAGGCAGTGGAAGAATGGGAGCCACCGGCCACATCCTCCGCCTCCGCCCGGGACTCCCGGTCCCACAGGCTTTGAGGAATCGGTGTCTCCTCGGGCCACTCTGTATGTTAGCTCTGGGTCCAGGAAGCGAAGAGAGTAGTCTTAACACTTGACTCTGCTCCCCAGGAGGATGGACCGACAGACTCCAGAGCTTTCTCCTCCCCTACCCCACCTCCAGGTTCCTCTGTGGCAAGGAGATCAAGAAGAAGAAGTGCATCTTCCGCCTGCGCATCCGCGTCCCGCCCAACCCGCCCGGGAAGCTGCTGCCCGACAAGGGCCTGGCGCCCACTGAGTACGGTCCCTCCTCTGAGCTGCGTAAGAGAGGAAAGAGCAAGCCTGGGTCAGTGCCTGGAGACCCAGGGATCCCACCTCCCACCCCCGGCGACACGCCATGCCATGGGCCCAGAGAGTGTGCTAGAGTCCAGGCAGGCAGGGAGGACCTACACCTGCTGGTCCCGCTGGAGGCACCCGGAGGGGACTGTTTGGCTGAGCCAGGACTGATGCCACATCAGGACTCCTCCTGCCTCAGCCCTTATTGACTGGCTTGAAGGAAAAGCCAGATCCTGGGACCCTGAGTCTTGCTGGGTGGGGGCTTAGGCAGAAAAACCAGTGTGAGGGGTCCCTGGGTTTCCTGATGGAGCTGAGCCCCTGCTCCTGAGCGTAGCGGGCAGAGCATCCGGATGCATGTGCCTGAAGGGGCACCTTCTCTCGTCTGCCCATCATGCCTCCTCCACCCCAGCCCGGCTGCCATTTTCCCCCTTCCTCCCTCTGGCAACCTCAGGGGCCTGCAGGCTCTGAAGTGGCCTCCTCTCCCTTTTCTGTCTCCACAGTTTGTTGCCTCACGAATTCCAGCAGCAGCAGAAAAGGCGAGTTTATAGAAGAAAAAGATCAAAGTTTTTGCTGGAAGATGCTATTCCCAGTGTTAGTTTCTCGTTTTCTTACTCTCCACGTTCACACGCAGGGTCAGCACGTATTAGGGGTTTCTGTGCAGGAAGTGAGTCCCGGGGGATTGTTCCAGGTCCCTTAAAGGAGAAGCCAGCTCTTATAACAGCTGAACAAGGAAGAGCCAGGCTCTGCAAGGCCAGTCCTTTATTTCCCCAAGTCCTTTCCAGAACCTGAGGCGGGGGGCAAGGGTGGGTAATATCCTTGTTCCCTCTGTCCAGGTGGGGAAACTGAGGGCCAGGGAAAGGCGGGGACTTTCCTCAGGTCACAGCTGAGGTCCAGGGAAGGGCGAGTCACAGCTGAGGTCACAGCTCAGGTAACAGCAGAGCCCGGCCTGCACCCAGGCTCCAGGGCTCGCTTTCCCCTTCAGCTGCCCACCCGTGGGCAGCAGTGTTAGCAGCGCCTCCCGTGTCCTGCTCTTCACACTCACACGGCCGTCCCATTCCCCTGTCCTCCCACACCTCAGAGTGAACACACCGGGGCTCATTGTCCGCTTTTGCAGTTGAGACACTGGGACCCAGACACGGGAAGGTCATGCAGTCAGCTAGAGACGGAGTCAGGACTGAGTGACTGCTCCCTAGCCAGGCAGGTCTGGGAATAAGAGGAAGCCAGTCTTAGCCTGGGAGGGTCCAGCCCTCAGGAGCCTGGCTGCACCCGCAGGCAGCTGTGCGGCCGCAGCTGGAGAAGAGCTGAGGCTCACTGCTCCTTCCTCTGTGTCCACAGAGCGACTTTACCTCGGCCTGGAGCACCAACCACCACCTGGCCAGCATATTCGACTTCACGCTGGATGAAATTCAGAGTTTAAAGAGGTAACAGCGAGAGAGCAGCGAAGGCATCCCCTGGAAAGGGCAGAGCAGAAAGCTCTCCTAAAAGGGGAGGGTGGCCAGGGAAGGCTTTCTTGACTCCTTGGACTTTGCAGTCCGGAAGGGTAGGACATGGACAGGCAGAGAGGAGGCAGGCATGGTGGCAGCAATGGGAACGTGGCCCCTTGCTGGGAGGTCCGGGGGTGGGGGGGTCCAGAGAGGACTGGAGAGGTGGTGGGGGGCAGGGGGTTATGCTGAGAGCCTATAGCAGGCTCACCCTCTCCTCTCTCTCAGTGCCAGCTCAGGCCAGACCTTCTTCTCAGACTTGGACTCCACAGATGCTGCCAGCACCTCTGGCTCCGCCTCCACCAGCCTCTCCTATGACTCCAGGTAAGCTTCCTGGCAGCCTGGACTCCCATTCCGCCACTCTACTCCCCACCTTCCCCCCCCAACCCCCACCCACTTCCTCCTCTCACTTCTTGCCATGAGGCTCATTCTGTCCATGTGCGTCCTGGGCTGAGGGACCTGGCCCTCTGCCGCTGAGAGCCTGGTGAGGCCCTCTGGCTGAGTGTGGCTTCCAGGTGGCTCCACTTTGGTTGCTGGGTGGCTTCCTCTCTGGGTGCTCCAGCTCCGGGTCATTGGACCAGACGTTCTTTCTCTGGGGCTCTTGGCCTCTGCACGCCAGGAGGTTGCATGTCTGTGCCTCTGACCGCAGGGTCCCGACCCCAGTTCTGTGTTCCAATCTCTGAAGAAAGGAGCGTGGATTTTGGAAGCCTGGTGGAGAGGAGAATGACATCCTATAGGGTGTGGGATCTGGGAGGGGGACAGAACCCCAGAGAACACGCTGAGGGGCCAACCCAGTTGGCAATAGCCGTCCTCAGCGGCGTAGGGAGGGTGAGCTTCTGAACTCTGGGCTCCTTTAGCTCCATTTTGGGATCCCAGAGGCCCCTGCAAATAGAGTTGTGTATCTTGGGAGTTTTTCTCTTGTTTGGGTGTCTTTTTCTGCTGTTGCCTCTGTATTTTCACTTATTTCGTTTATTATTATTATTGTTGTTGTTGTTGTTTTTTAATCAGGGAGGAAGGGAGAAGGAGAGAAACATCAATGATAAAAGAATCATTGATCGGCTGCCTCCTGCATGTCCCCCACTGGAGATGGAGCCTGCAACCTGGGCATGTGCCCTTGACTGGAATTAAACCCAGGACCTTTCAGGCCACAGGCCAGTGCTCTATCCACTGAGCCAAACCAGCTAGAGCTTCACTTATTTCTTCCTGTTTCTTCTCACTAGCTCTTTTGGCTCTTTCTGTTTCAAGTGTCTGAATGTGTGCCACCTCTTGTGTGGCCACTTCTCTATCAAGTCTGCCTCTCTGCCCGCATGTGTGCACATGTCTGTCTGTCTCCAATCCAACTCTTGGATGTGGGGTCCTCTCATAACTGCCATCCGACCCCATTACACTGAGGGTCAGCAGTGTAAGCGGGGCCTCCGCACAGCCTGACGTCAGGAGGCAGAGGATGGAGCCCGGGCCCCGTACAGGGCTGGTTTCCTAAACGGAGAGCTGGACACACCGAGGTCTGAATCCTGGCTCTGCTTGCCGCTGCCCGAATGGTGGCTTTTTCCTGGAGCCTGTTTCCCTCCCAAGCTGCTGTTGTGAGGTTCCAGTGGGCTGATCCACGCTGGGGTGCGTGGGCCCAGGGCCTGTGCCCAGGGGAGTGCTCAGGGGGAGGCCTGTGATGATTCCCCCTCATTTCCTACCCCCCCCCCCAGACGGACAGTGGGCAGCCGGAAGAGGAAGCTGGCAGCCACAGTGTACACGCCACTGCGGGCAAAGCGGCGGGCAGCCGAGCCGAGTGGATGCTGCCCCTCGGACAGCGGGGCCGAGGGGGCTTCGGGCCCCGAGCGGGCCGACGAGAGCATTGACAGCCACACGTTTGAGAGCATCAGCGAGGACGACTCCTCCCTGTCCCACCTCAAGTCCTCCATCACTAACTACTTTGGCGCGGCGGGGCGGTTGGCCTGTGGGGAGAAGTACCAGGTGCTGGCGCGGAGGGTCACGCCCGAAGGCAAGGTTCAGTACCTGGTGGAGTGGGAAGGGACCACCCCTTATTGACTGGCCCGCAGGGGTTGCTAGGAGCCCTGGCAGCGGACGGGAGACAGTGGGAGCCACAGGCTCCCAGGTTCCCTGCAGGGTGGGGAGGGGAGGGAAGAAGATGGAGCTGCAGGTGCCTGGCCCAGGCCCTTCCTGCCTCTCCACTCTCGGCTCTGCCTCGGGCCTCAGGCTCATCATCCCTTGTCTCTAGGGTCGCAGTGTCCCCACACACTCTGCACTCCCTCAGACCGTTCAGCTGTTCCTTCCGGTGTGTGTCACCCTGGCTCTGGGATGCTTTTTCCTGAAGCCTGAATCTTTGTCCCCAGTTTTGTGTCACTTACCTCTCTCACCCCTTTTGGGGGTGTGTAGACACCCTACACATACATGCGGTCCCTTGTGTAGCTACACACACGAGCCCAGATGAGGGCAGAGCAGGAACTTCTGAGAAAGTGGGTGAAGGTGGGAGCTTTTCTCTCCCACTTTCCTGCCCCTCTTCCACCCCCTCCCGAACCTTGGAAATGCTGGTGAAGACAGGAGGCCTCGGAGAGCCTGTGAGGCAGAGACCGGCCTCCACTCGGGCCTTGAGAGTCCAGGTCTCTGCCTCAGAGGCACCAGCACCAGAGTCCTATGAAGGCTCGGGGTGAAGGCCAAGGTGTCAGCTTCTGGGGTTCCAGTGTCCTTTCCTTGGCTACACTCCTCTTGGTGGCCATGGAGTGGGGCGTGGCCTTGCTGGAATAGGGGTGGCCTTGAAAACCTGAGGGACAGGGAAACGGGGGGGGGGGGGGGGGGTGGGTAGGAGGCGTGTCCTGCTAAACCTTAGACTGTTTCTGACGCCTCCCACCCCAGACCACCACACACACACACACACACACACACACACACACGCAGCTGAGTACACATTCACTCACACAACGTCCTTCCTCATGTGCCTCACCCTCCAGGCACAAGCATTTGGCCTTGCCTCCAGGTACACACACACACACACACACACACACTATACACACACAATCTCTCACACACAGTCTTTCATGTTCTCCCCCTCTCTCTCTCTCTCTCTCTCTCTCTCTCTCTCTCTCTCTCTTTTTCTCTCTCAGACACACACACACACACACACACTCTCTCCAGTGACAGCCTGGCTCCTGCCTTTGGCTCTCCCTTGGCCCTCTTCCAGGGACCATGTGCTGCAACTAAATGTGAAAGTCCAGCTCCTGCCCCTTCTTTCAGCCCAGGACCCAGCTCTGACCCCCTGGCCCTTCTGCTGTATCCCCTGCCCCACCCTGAACTGACAATCACTTTCTGAGACAGGCCGGGAGTTTTAAAGGGCCTGTGTCATTCAGTTCCCTCAGAGAGAGGCCCTTGTCAGTGGGAGTCTTTTAAAGAATCCTTAAAACCAACATCAAAACTCACACCCATCTGGAGGGAAACCAAAAATGGGAGGGAACCCCTCATTTTTGCTGCTTCCAGAAATATTAGAAACTGACTCACTTGATTGAAAAACGGAAGAATGTGCCTTGACTTGGGGTGGGGGCCGTGCACCAGATGGGGACTGGACAGCCCAACTGCTGCATGGCCTTCAGCTCGGCTGGGCTCTGCAGGCTGGCCAGCTGCTAAGCGAAGGTGGAGGAACAGCGAGAGGATGGTTTTCCATTCCAGCTGACCCCCTTCCCACCTGTGAGCCTTCGGGGGTCCCTTGGATAGTGCAGATGCCCCTTGCCTTAAGCCTCAGCTTCTACAGTGCCTTTTTGATGGGACCTCCCCTCCCCTAGCTTCCCTGGCGTGGACCAGACAGAGGTGGTCTGGAGGTGGCTTCCCTGGCGTGGTCCAGACAGGGATGATCTGAGGTTGGGCCCAGGTCTCCCCCTTCTCAGCCCCATAGCTGCTGCCACCAAAACCCCAAACGGGGGGTCGGTGGAAGGGAAGCTGAGAAGGCAGCACCCTGCTCAATCTGTGGCTTCCTGCCTGGCTTCAGAGAGCATAGCCACCTCCCAGGCCTGCTCTCCGGGCTCCTGAGGAAGCACAGGAGGAGCCAGGCCTGTCACAGGTGCACCGTCTCCACCTGAGCTCGGAGAGGCTCTGAGCTGAAAAGGAAAAGGAGGGGAAGGGTGTCTCCCCAACGTGGGAAGTCAGGACACGGTCTCGCGAGGTCGTCCTGACTCCGTGCCCCAGCCTTTCATTTGTGCCGGATCATAGCTGCATTACTGCCAACTGACCTTATGATAATCCTGTGCACCTTCTAAAGATTTATGGTTTTGAATTGCTGCTTTTAATAACGTGTTATATTAAAGTTCTAATTAAACGTGTCTGACTGACAATCTAAAAGCTCCCTTTGGAAAGCTGCCTATCTTCCCCCAGTGAACTGTCAAGCAGTTGGGTAACAGGAGGAATTGGCTCTGGTGTCTGGTCTTGGTTTCCTGGAGACTGAGGAATGGTGGGATCCACCCTCTCCCCGGCCACCCTGCCACTCTTGCCACTGCCTACGAATGCTCTCAGCACTATCCTCACCCTTACCACCAAGAGGAGATGGAACCCTTTATCTGCTGTGAGTATCTGACCATTGGGGGAAGAGACATTAGTGAGGGCCACAGGGAAGCAAAGGATGGGAAGTGAACTCAGAAGTTGCTCCCATTAAAATACGTCAGCACAGGCTCTATAAGCTGTTCAGTGCACCCAAGCCTAGTGATGCAAAGTGAGCGCCGGGCGTGGCTCTCCTGGTTTGAACCTGCACCACTTTGGTCCGAGTCCTTTGGTTCAGTTTTCTCTCCCTTTCCTGGCAGAGCTGATACCTGCTAGATTCAGTTCTCTGGTTTTGAGAGGGAAACGTTTCACGTATAAATATGATGAGTTATTACGTTAAATAAACTCTACATTTGTGGAAGTTTGGAGAGAGAAAAGGTCAGCTATAGGGAGGTGAAGACCAAGGATCTAGCTGAATTCTGTAGTTTCAAGGGTCAAGTGTAGCCTGTTAGTTCCCATAAGTGTTCACATCTGCTAAACCTTCACTACGGCTTCCACTTTTATCCTCCATCCTTTCACTTTCAACCTTTTAACTGCCCTTGGGACAAAACCACCGTTGGAGCTGGGGGTTGTGGGCTGTGGGGGTGGTTCTGTGAGCTGGTATTTATGGGATGGAAAGAAGGTGAATGGCGCAGGTGTCAAGAGACCTGGCTTCTAGTTGGAGTTCTACAGTGAGTGAGCAGCTAAATAGATCCTCCTGAGAACAGTGGTCCTCGCCACGCTGGAGAGGGCCTGGTTCTTTGTGGTCTGGGTAAGTGTTTGCAAATCTACAACAGATAGTAATCTTTGGGCTTAGGAGCAAGAAATTAGAATTCTCAAAATTCCCTAAGTCATCAAGTTATTCTTAAAATACTTCATTTCATTCTTTCCTTGTTGTTACAGATATCTGGGGAAAACTATTTAACAAATGGGACTATCAAGCTTAGGTGTATTTACAAAGAACTGGAGCCTAGAGGGAAAATTTAAACCCTGTCATTGGATATTTTTCAAATCACGTAACATTCAAATATCCTGGCAAGGTGAACAGTGTAAGGATCACGTGTCAAAAATGCCAAATTAAGAATTTATTTTGCTTTGAAAGCTTGTAATTTGGTACACTGCTCAGAGAATTTGTCTAAAGTATACTCTGTATAGACTTATTTTATTTGCAAAATAATACAACACAACAATCACAAGCAAGACTGATTGGACAGACGCCATCTCCGACATGCTCCTGCACTGCTTTTCCTCACCTTCGGCTCCGCATGCTGGCGTCTTGCTCTTATTTTTTTATTTGATGCATTCCTTCAAACCAGCAATGTCTTTATGCTTTTAAGCCCCCATATTCTCTGAACTGATTTTTCTGGCGATTCCCGATTCAAAACACGTACATGTCCTGAGAAATGCTGGGAAGGCATCCCCCATGGAAACACTGGTCTAGGCCCCGGCCCAGCTCCACAGCACCATTCGGGGAGACTGTGGTAGAGGCCAAACCATGCAAGATGGAGTAAAAATCACTGAGCTCTAAATCCATCCTCTTCTGTACAGAATAAAGACACTATCACCTACCTCCAGGCCAGTGGGTAGAAGTCCCAGGCCCACTTACCACATAGATAAAGAACTAAAAACACTTCCTTTACAATAGGCTGCAGCAGGCTCTCTGGGTCTTTGGTCTACAAAAGGACATTTTCCAGCCTCTTTGGAAGAGGCAGTAAAAAGCATCAAGTTTAGGATGAGTTGAGGGTTCGGCCCTCCATGCCCTCTTCCACCTGGGAAGGAGCAGGGATAGGAGCACACCAGACTCAGGGTAGGCAGCCTGGCTGTCCCGTTAGTAACATCACACCACTCCCTTTCTGGACCTCAGTGCAGTTCCGTTTCCTCTACTTAACCTATAGAGTGGAGACGGGCTTATACCACTCGTTTACAACTTTTGACAAAGAAAACTTTTTTAAAAGCTCCACAAATCTCATGAGAATTCAATACATTAAAAAAAAAAAAAAAGTAAAAAATAAAAAAAAAAAAGTTCAGTTGCACTGGCTGAAGGTGGCAGAGAGGGGCAGGCAGTCCCCATACCTCCTGTCACCCTCTGGGCTCTGTGGGCAAGTGTGAGGAGCATGGTCTGGAAGTTCCCCGGGGTTCTTTCTGCTTTAGGACACTCAGTTTCAATGCTCCACTGAGCAAGCCTGTCTCCACTGAGCAAGACACCATAACCTCCTGATGCTGGTCTCATTCAGGCTAGGAAGGTCAAAACCTATTCCCAACCCATGAGCTGTGTCTAAGTGCTAATATCGCCCCAGTCCTACACACACTCCTGAAGCTCATTCCTGACCCACTCCTCAGGCCTCAGGAATAAGTGCCACCCTCAGCCAGGAGAAATCATCTTGCTTGTCCCTAAAATTGCACCATTCACAATCCATCCTTTTGGATAAAGTGCTGCCAGTTCCTCCAGAAGCTGGCCTTCAACCCACACTCTTCTAGGTAAACAGATCAAACCAGGTCTGTCTATCCTGAAAACCAGGAGAGTAATTCCACCCGACATTTGAGGTAGCCCAGTGACTGCTGCCGATGACACATCTCACCCTCCCTGCCATCTCTCCTTGTCCCCTGCACACTACCCTCCTTGCCCTCATCCCCTGGCCACCTATTAACAGGAAGTACTCAGAGACAAGTTCCACTGGGTTCTCGCTTGGCTTGGACTGGCCCAGCATCCTTTTCTAGCCTCAGGAGCCTCGGCCCTTCATCCTACGCGTTACTCAGCTCCTCTGCGCTGACAAAAACAAGGAATCCAGAGATGCTGGGAGGCAGGAAGCAGCATCCTTTCCCCAGCATGCGGCTGATGAAGGCTAGTGACAGCCAGCAGGATCCACAGGAGGCCGTCCCTCTCAGTCCTCCTCCATGCCCTCCTCCAGCCACTTCCAATAGTGCACATCTCCTTGGTCCATGGGAAGACTGAAGATCTCTGGGATCTCAAAAGGATGCACCAGCCTTTGGGAAGAGAGCAGAGTCCTGTGAGTGACTGTAATTCGGATCAGTCAGGAGGTGAAACCCAGCAGGCCAGCCTCTTTTGAGGTCTTTGCCATCTGCTGCAGCCCCTGTCCACCTCCATAACCTACCGCCTCTGTAGGCGAGTTGGCGAGTTGGGCCAGATAGCTTTAGAATTTGAACCCTTGTCTCACAGACAAGGGTTGAAATTCTAAGTATGCTCCCTATTAGCTATGTAGCCATGGACAGATCACTTAATTTCTCTAAAGGCCCTACAAAAGAGGGGATGAAAATGGCACTTATGTGACTGGGTCACTGAGGATGAAAGGAGACAAGGAGCATAGAGCTGGTACACTAACGGGCACTGTATGAATTCTCTGAATGTTAGCTGCTAGCCTCCATTACTACCTCAACCGCCACCCACCCAATACCATTGCATTCTCTGCTCCACATGTCAAACCTGCTCCTGTTTATCAATCAAAAGCCTCTTTATCCCTCAAGGCCAAACCACCATTGACATTTTTAAAGGGATCTTTCTTGACAGCCAAACCCACAGGAACCTCTCTCCCTTCTCCCCAAACTGTACTCACTGTTGTATTTTCACCACACACAAGCACTTGCAAAAAGTCAGATTCACTTAAGAACATCCTTGACAAAATGATAAAAATTACAGTTTTTATTCAGTTTTGACCCTTGAGTACATGTATATTTAGCCTGGAAAGTATACAGAAAGCACTGTGCTTTGTGCCTAAATTCAGTATGTCCTACACGGGTCTGACTGAAAACCAGACTTTTTCATGGAGTGCCATTTTTAAGCCTGAGTTACCATAAACTGTCTTTTTTTTTTTTTTTTCAAATTATGGTTCCTCGGATTTGAGGATTAGGTAGACACTGTCTCAGACATGAACAAAGTGAGTCCATCACTCAAAGACAATTTGCATCATGTATTGCCAATTTTTTTAAAAAATTATGTTTTCATGCAGAAATCAGAAGTTTGGAAAACTTGAATTTGTCATCATGAGCTTTCCAAGTGTCCCAATACTTAAAGATGCTTCTGATTAAGCCAGATTTTGCAAAAAGAGTAAAATTATGCCATTCTTCTCACTTTTTGGGGGGAGGGGGTGTGTGGAATATGGTTACTTCCCATAAAAATGCATTATTTATTATTGTTGTAATATATGTATTAAAAATGCATATATTACAACAATTAATAAGTAATGGTTTTATTACTGTTAATTTTTTTTAAATCTTAGTTTTAATTTCTAACATAGTAAACTTTGATATAACCCACATAAACAAAGCTCTTTTAGGTCCCTGGCAATTTTTTAAAGTGTAAAGGAACCTGAGACCAAAATTTTGAGAACTGCTGGTTTAAACTAACTCACTCTAGTCTCTCATTTTACATATGAAGAATCTGAGGGGCAGGCACCTGTCCAGGGTCATACAAAGGTTTGTGACTAGGTTTCCTGCTTTCCAAGCTCATTCACTCAATACCTAGAACGTCCTTGGCTGAGATGAGACACCAGTATTACCTGACATAGCTGGAGAGCATGTGGACCTTGGAAGTCTTTGTCTTTATTAACTGTAAAGGGAAAAAAAAATCACTGCTTCACCTCAGCCCAGCTCTGCAGCTGCTCACTTTTCTGGCTATTTATGAGACGGCATTCCCTCTAGGTCACCAGGCCCTGTCACTAGCTTGCAAACAAATCTACGGCATCTATGTGGGTCAGGAACCTCAATAAGTTGGTCTTCGCTAGTTTTTCATTGGAACCTGGGGAAAAGGCCATGCTCTCTCACTCTTCCCGTATCAAGGCCCATCCCCAAACCCAACCTCACTCACCAACAGGATCTCAGTGGCTTCTTCTATTTCTCCATTCCAAAAGTACCTGGACACGAGAACAAGGTATCACGCTCCCAAAACAATCCCACTGAAATGTCAAACCTGGCCCAGTTAGGCAACTTACTGAGGTGGAAACTTTAAAATCTCTCCAAGTCAGGGGTAGGGGAGGCCGGGGGAAGGTCAAGGGGGGGAGAAGGAGACATACATACTACTATTTGTAATACTTTAAACATAAAATAAATAAATCCAAGTTCACATTGAGAAGTCTACAATTGGTGAAGGCATGACAGATCATCTAGTCCAATCATGCTAATGCATACTTCTGGCATCTGCCTGAACATTCCTGGAGGCGAGAAGCTCACCATCACTTGAAGAAATCCATCTACCTTAAAGGTTTTCACATGAGGTGGTTTTTCTTATGGTGTGCCAACATCTGCCATCCAGTTGTTTTCCCCAACTTCCATATGGAGAAGCACCTTAGAGTCAACCTGACTCTCCTGCTGTACAGAAACTTACGTTTTCTCTCCTCCAAACTGGGCATCTCTGGCTCTTTCCACACTATTCTATACTCATGGCTTCTGGGCCCCTCTCCATCCTATGGAATGGGACTACTTTTACAGCTGAGACTCAATGTTGAGTGCCCATGAAAGGATAAATAAGAAGCAGAGGAGGCTTCAGGGAAGAAGTGAGCCTTACAAGACATGGAAACAAGTCCAAAGGTTAAAAGTCAGTGATGACGTTCAGAAAAGAGTATGAGAACAGCATCTCTACTTGCTTTGCTCAGGGATGAATGCCCATTCTGGCTTCCTTGCTAATAGCAAGCTAATTAATTTAAACAAAGAATGTGCAAGCAGGGTTCACCGTTCCCAAACTGGAGGTTTTTCCCTCCTTTCTCTATACACACAGAGCACATTTTTGCTTTTGTTTATAGGATGACATAAACACACTGATTCATTTCCTTTGAATGCAAATCAGCAGTGAAGTATTGATTAATTAAATGCCTCTGAGTTGTTCCTTCACAATTCCCCATTAATCGGTACCCCTCCAACCAGCTAGGACCTGACCTTCTACGGCCACAGCAAAACTCACAATGAGGATGCCTTGGGCAGGATGTTCACAGAGGCAGCCAGCTTCTTATCCAGGATTGCCCTAAAGCAAAGAGAGTGACAGTCACTGGGGCACGTGTCCAGAACCTCAAGCGAAGGAACAAGGTATAGGCATTGCTGGGAGCTAGATAATCATTTAGAATGCCCCTACTCCCCACCTCCTGGCACTTTTAATGACAGGCCTAATCTGCCTGGGGAATAGATATTAACTCTGGACAGAGAACAGGAAGGCTTGGTTCCATTCCTGGCCTTGCAGTAGTGTGGCTGTGTGACCTTACACAAACTTTCTCATTCCAGGAATAAGTATTCAAGCACCTCTCCGAGACAGGCATGTCCCCGCACTCAGCCCGACTCCCCTGCTGTACAATGAGAAAATGGTTCAACCAGTAGCTTCCAACCCTTTCCCCACCAAGAGCTCCTTTCATCATGATGCCACCTCTGCTTCTATCCCACAGGTAGGTATCAGGCTGCGCTCAGCGCTTCTGATCTTTAGATGGCCATGTGACCACACAGCTCCAACAAAACAGCATCATAACTGTGTTTGTCTTTGGTAAATATAGGCTCCTTTCACTTTTTTTTTTTTTTTTTTGGTAAAGGTTTCTATCATAGCCCTAAGCACACAATCATCACCTTTGCAGACCTCTAAGCCTTTTTTTTTTTTTTTTTTTTTTTTTTGACAGACCACAGGTTGGAATTCCTGGTCTGATAATCTCAGATTTCTATGCAGCACCCTGGTGAGCACTATAAAAGGGGCTTGAGCTAGTACAGGGGTCATAGAAATAGGAGCACCACTAAGTCACTGATGCAAAGAAGTGTCCCCAGGCATCAAAACCTCTGCCCTCGGAATCAGGCCTTGCCAAATAAACTTCATCTGAGCTCTGCTCACTAACCCCTCCTCCCTCCAGCTGCTGCCAAGAGAACCAACCTACTTTCTCTTCCCCTGGGTTCCAGATTAAACAGTGGTCTCTATTTAAGGCTCCGAGTTACTGTGGCATCACCACCACCTCATTCCTCTGCAAAGTTCTAGGAGCTAAATAAATCCCTCACCATAAGGAGAGGCACATGGCACAAATGTGTTTAAGAAACCGCTTGCGAGTCTTGCTCCCTCGAACATTTGCTGAGAAATTACATTTTATTAGTTCTGAAGGTAGCAGGCAAGCACAGGGAGTGAGTTAAACCTCTAGAAAAAAAAAAAATCCATTGCCTCATACCTCATCACCAAAGACTCCCCTTCAGATTTTTAGGACACAGTAAGGAGAACGCTTCATAACCAGCATCTATGAGAAAGCCCCAAAGAATAAAAGGCAGCCCGAGACACGCAAGGCAGCACACAGGGGGACTGCCCCAGAGAAAAGAGCATCAGTCTGTACCTGGGGCGATGGGAACCAAAGCAGGCGGGAACTGGAGGCAACCAGCAAGGTGAACTGCTGGAATGCCACCACAGGAGCCGGTGGATGCCCCAAACCTCCCATGGCCCCGCAGCGATAATGGGGTGTTTATCTCCAGCAAGGAGCAGTTAAGTGTAGGCATTTTGGTGGAAAAGGCACAACAATGTCTTAGCTGGTGATGGCCAAGGATAAAAGGGAGAAATCTCACCCAGAAGGCCAGTCACTAGGGCACCCCAGTCTGTAGAATATCCCCCCAAACTACACTCACACTGAAAACAGTGCTGCTAAGACCATTCCTTGCAGCTGTTCCCGTGACTCCCCACCAGCATAACTAAAAAGATGAGAGGTGCCCTAACCGGTTTGGCCGATAGAGTCTTGGCCTGCGGACTGAAGAGTCCTGGGTTCAATTCTGCTTAAGGGCATGTATTATACCTTGGTTGCGGGCACATACCCAGTGGGAGGTGTGCAGGAAGCAGCTGGTCGATGTTTCTCTCTCATTGATGTTTCTAACTCTCTATCCCTCTCCCTTCCTCTCTGTAAAAAATCAATAAAAAATATTTTTTAAAAAAGATGAGAGGTTAAACATAGGAATCACAAAGCATCTGAGGACTGCCAATACCAAGAAGAAAAAGTCAACCAATGAATTTACGTAAGAGGACCAGCTAACAGTACATTCAAAACCAAGATTTAAAAATAAGTATAATCTCAGATTCTTATAATTATATAATTACATCTACCTGAAAGTAGCTAAGAGAGTATATATTAAAAGTTCTCAGTCCCAAAAAAGATAACTGTGTGAAGAGATGGATGCACTCACTAATCTTATTGTGCTGATCATTTTGCTATATATGCATGTATCAAATCATCATGTGTATTCCTTAGACTTACACAATGTTGTATTGTCAATTCTATCTCAATAAAGCTGGAAAAATTAACAAAATAAGTATAATTAATATCTACAGAAATATAAGACAAGATTATTGCATCCATAAAATTAAATCAGAATATAGGATCAGATATTTATGAAATATGAGTAGTTGGTTATGAAAGAATAATTAAAAATCCTGAAAAGGAACACTAATCATTTAAACAAAAAAACTCAATAGAGGAACCGACTAGCAAAATAAATACAAATGAGAAACAAATAAGAGAGAAGAATGGGCTCAGAAATTCTCCCAGTATGCAAAATAAAGGAACAGACAAAGAAAGAATATAGAAAGAATAGCTAACAAATTAAAAGCTGAACATTAAGATAAACAGAGAATCCTAAAAAATATCAGAGAGAAAAAGTATTTCCTACAAAGGAATGAGCCCCTGATAAACACCTGACTTCTCATCAACAACCTTGGATACAAGTAGATAATAGAGGTCTCTCTCTAAGTTGATACTGATCCATTTACCTGTACTGGCCTTTCAACCAGTTAGAATCCAGGCATTAGAATGATTTTCCTCCCAAAGCCAAACTTCACAGATGTCAGCTGAAGTTGTTCCTGAACAGGCCCAGAGTGGCTGGTCCAGGAGTCCGGAGAAAAGAGTTCAGTACACACCCTCGGGACAGCAGGAGTAGCAGGAGGGATTTCAATTCCTAGCTACCAAATACCATGGGTATCTCTGGAGTAATTACAGGTTCTTTTTTAGATAGGAGCTGTTCTTCAAAAGTAATGTTAACGAGGGGAAAATACACATTCTGGTTGGAGGAAAGAGAGATGGAATGAAATGCAAGGCTAACCTGTGGCCAACAATGTGGAGGCTGTTTGCCAAAGACCAGATTCAACATTTGAAAACACTATAACCTAGTCTATCATCAACTTCAAGAATGCTGAGTTGTGGATCAAGAAGAAAGGGATCAAGGAGCCAAATCCATTACCCTCCAGTCCCACTAACCCTCTTCAAAGCCTCAACTATAAAGAGAAATGAAGGGGGCAAAATCCAGATACCACAAATATTTATTGAGCACCTACTACATACAAATTATCTACTATGGTAATGCTTAAAGAAGGGAAGGGACTTGCCCAAGTTAACACGGTAAGTGGTAGAGCCAAGGCTGAAACTCTGATCTGCTTACAAGTCCTGTGTTCTTCCACCATACCACAGCTGCTTCTAGAAATTCCCTAAATATTTGGAATGACTGCCTCCTCCTCCTCTTCACTGTCATAGTGAGCACCTCTGGGACTGAACAAAGAGAGAATCTCAAAAAAGGAAGACAGATGGGCCAGGAATGAGACTTAGGTTTTCAACAGGTAGAATTCCACTGTTCCCTTAACACCTTGGATAAGCCATACATCCCTCTGGGTCTCGTCTCCTTATATGCGCCCTCCCTTCTCCCCCCCACGCCACTCAACATTTTAGGCCCAGCAGCAGGATCCATCAAATCATTCAGCTGTGTAGTTCATCTCTGGATGGACAGGGTTATCAGAAGCAAAAGAAGGGCCTAAATGTGACCCCTGATAGCATCCTGGTATCTCCCTGAGCCTCCTGGGGCAGCACCTAAGCCCCTTTACCGTACCTGGCAATCTCTCTGGCAATTTGCTCGTTGGGACAGTTGACAAAGACGATGGAGTAAGTGCCGGAGACATAACTGCCAGTGACAGCTGAATGGAGCTGCAGGCTAAGGGTCCTGAGCATGGGGTAAGTCAGGAAAGAAGCTGTCAGGATCTAAATGGTGGGGAAAAGCACAAGTCAGCAGTGGCATGACAATTCGCTATCTCCTGCTCAAGAAGACTGGAACCAGGGCTGGGCATCTTTTTTTCATATCCATTCCCCATCCAAAAGATAATTCCTGAGATCTTGAGCTTTAATACTTCAACAAAGTTCTGTCTAGATATTTACCTCTGCATTTTGCAGATGATTAAAAAACAAAACAAAACAAAACAAAAAAACACCAAAACTGAGGCTCAGAAATCAAGAAGCTTGTTCAAAATCACATAGCTCTTATTTAGTGAAGCAAGGATTAGGGCTCAAGTCTGGATGACGTGAAATCCATTCTGATGGAAGTAATGCTAATTGGAATCCACTGAACTGTCATCCTGTGGAGATTATAATGAATGATAAGCTCTTACATCTAATGATGTTTGAGGGTAACTTCACCTCCATTCATTTGTATATGTGCCAGGCACTGGGTAGGCTGGTGGAAAGGGTAGCCTAATTCTAAAGCAATGCAACCTGTGCTACTAACCTGAGTGCTCAGGGACCATAAGAAAGGCTCTATCTGAGGGAGCAGAAAAAGGCTTGGAAGAGAAGGTACCATCTAAATTGGATCTGGAATGATAAGTAAGATCATAAGAGAGGGTCACATGCTAAGCAAATAGTAATATGTACAAACACAAGAAATATTAAGGGCCAGATGAGTTATGGTCTGCATGGATCTTAGTCTGTGGGTATGAGATCTGGAGGAAATGAAACTGGCTAGAACCATAGAGAAAAGGGTCAGGCTAAGGAGTCTGGAGTTTGTACTCAGTGGTAGGGTATTTTTGGAGGTTTTAAGTAGCAGAGTAATAATGTAGTGAAGCCGAGTAGAGTACCAGGAGGGAGGAAGGAGAAGGACCAGAGATAGCCTACTTACACGGTCATTATAATAATCCAGGAAAAAGACTTGAAGCTAAGATGATAGTGACAATGTGAAAGGAAAAGGCACTCAAGATATCTTTCTTACTATTTTAATGATAAATATCCTATATAATAAAAGGCTAATATGCAAATCAACCAAACAGCAGAACAATCGGTTGCTATGATGCACACTGACCACCAGGGGGCAGATGTTCAATGCAGGAGCTGCCTGCTGGTGGTCAGTGCTCTCCCACAGGAAGCGCTGCTCACCCAGAAGCTAGGTTCCCGGCTGACAAGCGCAACAGCAGTTGCGGGAGCCTCTCCTGCCTTTGCAGGAGTGCTAAGGATGTCCCACTGCCAGCTTAGGCCCGGTTTCTCCTCTCCCCCCCTTCCCCCCGGGAGCGGGCCTCAGCTGGCAGTTGGACATCCCCTGAGGGCTCACAGTCTGGGCTCAGGGGGAAGCCCCTCCCCCGAGTGTACAAATTTTGTGAACCAGGCTCCTAATTTAAAATAAGAAGAAATGAAAAGAACTGGAAAACACCTTCCTTTCCAGGTTCTCTGCTTGAGGAATATAATGGAGTCATTAACAGAGAGAGGCAGCTTGCAAGGAGTCCCACTGTGACTTCAGCCAGGCTAAACAAGAGGGTGTTTCTCCTGCCTCCAGCCCAGGGCTTCTTTCTTGCTCAAATAAACCTCTGTCTTCCCACTCCTTTTATGCTCTTGCCTCAGTCCTGCCTCCTACGTCTTGGCAAGGCCTAGAGCAGCGATTTTATGTCTTCAGCTTCAGTTTGACTACAGGCCTGTCAGGGTTGGGTTTTCTCATTCCCTCCCACTACCTCCACCAAACCACCAATTCAACATACTAGTCCACTGGACTAAACCAGTGACCAGACAAGAAAAAAAAAACCAGACTTCAAAAGCTTTTAGTATGTGTGTGTGTGTGCATAGTAGGATTTAAATCCTAGTGTGAGTATTGCTAGCTGCCTGTGGCCTTCAACAAGTTACCATCTGTCCTTCTACAAACCTTATCTAGAAATTGGAGATTATGACACTGTGCTGCCTATCTCAGTTGCTATGGGTTCACATGAGATAGGAAAAACAATTTGTAATCACAAATTCAATGAAACTGAATTTCAGGCTCTGCTCACCACTGTATCCCCAGCACAGTTCATGGCACACAGCAGGTTCTCAATAAATACTTGCAGACTAATGAATTAATACACCAGCAAGACATTGTTATTAAGGCTCAATAGTCTTGTGAAAAAGATAAGTCTTGTCAGCAGTGTTTTTAACAGAGAACTGGGCAGACTGGAACACGCTAAGGAGTCCATGACTCCATGGTAGCTTCCAGCACAGACTCCAAACACAAGGAACAATGGCCTGTCCCCCAACCAAAAAAGCCATTTGAGGGAAGATCCGGGCATTCCCGCCAGCAGGTAGCAGTGCAGCACAGCTAATAAGATTCAATATAAACTCACCCAAAAGGCATTGAAAGTCAAAATACTAAGTTATTACATTCTTGATGTTTGAGGAGTTAATTCCCCGCCATTCATGTGTATATGGTATGTGCTAGGCACCTGGAGAGGCCAGTGGAAAAAGTAGCCTTCTAAAGCAATGTGACCTGTGCTGCTGAAACGAAGAGCTGTGCTCTCGAGTATTATCTAAGATAACCCTAACTTTAACAAATAAGATAACTGAGGCAGAACATTTGGAGACTTACATCCAAGACTCCTGCCTCCATTCGGGACTCTTGGAAGCACAAGGAGCACAACTAGGAATTGATACAGTGGGGTCGATTCAGCTTCACTTAATCCAATGGTTCTCAAGGCGATTTTGTGCCCCTGGGGGCCATCTGGCAATGTCTGGGGACAATTCCTATTGTCATGCCTGGGGAAGAGATGCTATTGGCATCTATTGGGAGGATTGCTGCTAAACATCCTCCTGCTGTACCACTGGTCACACTGAAATACAGAGTTGTTTACAGGTCTCTTCCATTGGGCATAGGCTCTTCAGTCTCATTCATTTCTGTATTGCCAGCACCTTACAATTCTGACAGGGAGTAAGGGCTTGAGAAATATTTGTGGACCATCTCAACAAAGTGTCAGAAGCATGAAAGGTCAATCTGGAACCAAAGATGGGCTACAATGTATTAGAAAATGACTGTTATATGAATGCAAAAGTGATGGGAGATATACCACAATATTCCCTAATAGGAACATTTTAAGATACAATTTTTAAGTCTAGTCAACATTTTCCTAATTTTGTCTTTTACTACATACCTTTTCTATTTCTACATTCTTTTAAAATATTTTATGTATTCTTTCAGTTATTTTTGCATTTTATTCTGCCTTTTTCCTTTTTTTTTTTTTGCCTGGAATATTTGCATCGCCTCTAAGAGGTTATGGTTGACTTTATAGTCTGTGTTAAGGCAAAGGGGGCCTCAGAAACCACCTAGTGGTTCTAAATTTATAATCCACCTAGTTTATAATCCAACTAAATTTATAACCCGCCTAGTTTGAAGAAATCCGTGAATATTTTGAAAGACCATAACATTGTGTTTATCTATACAGTTTCCTTGTGTACAAATCCAGAACTTTCTAGAAAAAAAGTTAAGAAAACCTACAGGTCCCAAAAGGGTAAGAGCCACTGATATGTGCCAATGGTTACGGATGAGGAAATAAGAGTCCGAAGGGAGTAGAAATCACCCAAAAGTGATCATCAGAGCTGGGCTGGGCCCTAGGCTTCTGACTCTCCCCACCTCCTCCCGAACCACCTCCACCACTGGAGCTACTCTGCAAATGGTCACTTCCCAACCCTAATATTTTGAGGTATTTCTAAGACAGAAACAAAGCCCCCATAAAGGGTAACTGCAACAGAAAGGAAAGAATCTATCGAGGGACCCTTAGACAAGACCTCGCCACCAGATACCCCTTCACCTCCCTGGCCATGGAACGCAGCCCAGTCACCCTCCTCGCAGAGAGAAGAAGGGGAGCTCACAAGCTTCAGAGCCACCCACAGTCTCCGGGACTCCGAGGGGTGCCTCCAGGGACTTCACTGTCCATCCCCTCCCTCCCTGCCTGCCCCCAGCTCCAAATGCCCAGAGCAGGACAGGGAAGGGTGTCTTTTTCCTCGGGTCCCAGGTGAGAGGTCTGGGGCCAAGGGGGGTGGTACCGTCGTGGCGTGGGCACTCACCAGGAGGCATAACAGGACAGAGGGCCGAGGGTAGCCTGGCAGAGGACACCGATTGCCCAGCCTGTCCATGGCGTCGCCGGTAACTGAGCGGCACGGCGGCGGCGAAGGCTGCCTCTGGCCGAGTAGCCGGCAGGGGGCGGGAACTTGTGGCCTAAACCGCCCTCCCTGCCCACACCCTCCCACCTGCAGTCGCCCTCCTGCCCCGCCCCGGGCAGGCTGGTGGGAACCAGATAGTGGAGGGGGCGGGGTAAGAGTGAGACATTTTTCTCCGGACAACCCTCTCCCTAGAAACAGCCCAAGCACCCTACGCAGACCTATAACCCTTACAAAAATAAACTTCCCCTTCTCAAGCCAACAACAAAAATACCTTTAAACCCCCAGAGATGTACAGATAAAAAGACTAAGTTTCTTGGGTATACAAAACCTTCGGAAAGCAAAACGCACAAACACTAAGACACGTGCACTAAACTCTCCCACTTTATACAGCCCATCCAGCCAACAAGAAGCGAGATACACTCTGCTGCTTTCCTGTCCCCATCCTCACTCCCCCTCCCGGGATCTCCCTTCTAATCCTCCTGGGTTTAGAACACTCTTGCTCCCAACTGCTCTCCTTATGAGCTCACTCATTTTTCAGAGCAACTGGCCTTTCCCAGAGTTAATCCCACGGTCCTCTGTTCCCCCAAGGCACTTGGTGCACACTTCTGTTGCAACATTTAACATCAACTATGGGGAGATGCAAACAAGTAAGCAAAGCATTGCCCTTCAGGAATGCAGAGTCCACTGTTGTCAGGGTTTCCAATTTTTAATCAAACTTTTTAATGTTAAACACCCAATGGCAGGAGAAGGGGTTGAGTGCACAAGGGCACAACTTTTTTTTTTTTTTTTTTAATATATTTTGATTTTTAACAGAGAGGAAGGGAGAGGGATAGAGAGTTAGAAACATCGATGAGAGAGAGTCATCAATCAGCTGCCTCTTGCACACCCCCTACCGGGGATGTGCCTGCAACCAAGGTACATGCCCTTGACCAGAATTGAACCTGGGACCTTTCAGTCCGCAGGCCGATGCTCTACCACTGAGCCAAACCGGTTAAGGCCAAACCTTTTTTTTTTTTTAATTAAGGGAACTGTTTTGTATCTTGATTGTGGTGATAGTTACACAAGTGTTAAAAAGTTATACAAAATATATACTTTAATTGGTGAATTGTAAGTAAATAATACCTGAGACAGAAAGGCATTAGGGGGGCACTGGAAACCAATTCAAAACTGTTTTAAATAAGCAGGTTAAACAAAACACATGTTAGTCAAATCTGGCCTGTGGACTACAGTTCACAGCCTCTGTTTTAAATCACCTGTTCACCTGTTTTGTCCCATTCCCAGAGACTATGAATTCTCAGAGCAATGATGCATTTCCTAGCAGTGTTTGACAAAGTCAATAAATCAGCTGCAGCCCTATTCTTATCATTTACATCATTAGCTGTGCAGATGCAGGCAGCTTACTTAACCTCTCTGAGCTTGGGGTGGGGGGGAGGGAGAGGGCTTGGTAAAGGACGGACTAATAGACCTTCATAGGTCTGAAGTGAGGGCTAACAGAGTAGATTAACGTAAAAGTGCTTTGTAAAATGTAAGACCACACCAGTATTTCAAGAGCAAGTATTCTCATGGCAACTATTGTTAACTTAGAAAATCTCCATTTGCAAGGTAAAAACTTAATATCTGGGGAGTTGGGGGGGGGGGAACAGTTACAGTACATGAAGCCAAGTGTCCTAAGAAAACCTTTATATTCAAAACTGTGATCTTGGATACCTATTAACTTATTAAGAAAGACCACTGGTTAATGACCATTTGCCTTAAGTCTTGAGATGTCCCCAAGTTTAGCACAAAACCCCACACAGTTTAGATTATAAACTTTTGTTTAACTAAATGATATGGATTCGTGGCTGGTGATTATAATAATGGTCATAAAGAAGGTGATGTTGGGGCAACAGCGCAAGGATGGCAAGAAATTAACTGTTATTTGGAAGAAACTGCCTCTGGAATCTCTTCTTCCTTCAGCTCAGGCACCTTTACTCTTTCCACATTTCATTCCAAGGTTAGATTCCAGAAGTCCAATCTTGCATTTCTGGTTTTGGCAGATTTTTCAGATATGGTATCTTTTAAAAATATATATATATATTATTGATTTTTTACAAAGAAGAAGGGAGGATATAGAACTAGAAATATCGATCAGTGTCCCTTGCACACACCCCCATTGGGGATGTGCCCGAAACCAAGATACATGCCCTTGACCAAAATTGAACCCAGGACCCTTCAGTCCCCAGGCCGACACTCCATCCACTGAGGCAAACTGGTTATGGCTATAGTATGATTCTTACTGCCACTGCTTGAGGGCCCAGACTGTTCTTCTGGAGGCTTCTTATTCTTTTAATTTTTCTTCCTCATAATAGGCTTTAGTCCTTGGCTCAAACTAAAATTCAGACTCCCCTACAGACTCATTCTGTATTCACCTTCTTCATCCACACTTCCTCTATATTATGTCTTCCTTTTCTTCAACTCCTTTATTTTGAAGGTGCTCTTACACCTTTGTATAGGTATACAATTTATCAAAACCTTTTTTAAAGACCATTTTCAATCCAGGAAAGGATCCATATTAACTGCAATATCAATGAAGACTTGGGCAGAGTGTCAGTATTCAATTTCCTTAGGTTCATCTTTACCTCTAATTCTGGAGACCTGACTTCTTCCTTATCTATACTCTTATCACCAAAACTTGAAACTAGAGTAGCTTATTCATTTCATTTTCATCCATTTTTTTCGGACTCTGATTCCCCCCTCCCCCCCCCCCTTCTTTTAGGGAAACATGCACAATCATTCACATCATCCCAAAGCTTCCACCAGGCTTTAGTAAGAGCAGCTGGTTTTGTATCATCCATTGCCTCTTTTATCACTACCAAAGTATCAGCAATGTTGTGCTTGCTGCCATGTTTCCTTCAAATTAAGGCAAGGTGGGTTTTTTTCCCCCCAATAGTGTCAGCAAAGTGGTCAAACATATGCTTGGTGTAATACCTCCTGAATGCTTCAATTATTCCCTCATCCAAGGGCTGATGCTGATGATAGCAGTGCCACCCAGAGGGAGAAACACAGTATCATACTAGGATAAGCAAAACATAATAAGTCTGGGTGATTGAGACCTCTCCCCAAAATTAGCAACACTCTGAATTCAAGATGTTTTTCTGTTAAATAATTCTGGGCTTGATGGATAAACCAATTAATGAAACCAATCCAAAAAAGAAGGCAGCAGTTATTGACTGTCAACTTTTTCCAAAAGACAACTGTAAGGATTAGGGTCTTTATAAAGCCGTTATTATATCTTTTTGTCACTTGCAGCATTGGCACAATAGAATGAGGAGAATCCTGTTCTATTAAGAATCCTGTCCTCTAAGACTTCTAGGTTGTATTTCCCCCTAAAAGTCCACTAAGGGCGCACTTCCAAAACGAGCTCCTCCCCTTGGCATGGAAGACCTGGTGAGGCACATAGGTTCTGGCTCTAATCAATTTCTGGAGTTGCCTGGAGTACTTAGGTGCCCACTGGACATTTAATTTCGCGGACTGTAAAGATTTCCCAAGCCATCCCTATTCCCCATGAAATGTATCTGGGTTGCCCTTCCTAGTGGTTTCCACCAGACACTTGTAATGCATTTGGGATGGCTACAGATGGCCTTCAGCTTCAGAACTGTCTCTCTCTCCCTCCTCCCCACCCTCTACCATCTGATCCCGTCCTTGACCCAAAAGGTTAACTCGGTCTCCATCTTCTTAATGTTGTTTACATCCTGGGGAGTTCAGTAGAGAAGAAGGGCAAAACGTGATGGCCTTCTAGTTTTTCTCCGTAGTGAGCATCGTTGACTCACTGACGCCCAAAAGCGCCCCACGTCGGTGTGACACCTTCTTTCAACTTCTCGAGATTTTTCACCATGTCACCCAGAGGCATGGCTCTCCGCCTCCAATGGATACATGTCTAACCCGGGATGAGGATGCCCATGGCTTCCGCTCTGCCCAGGTCGCAGGGCCACTACCACGCCTGTCCGGGCCATAGCCGAGAGCGTGATTTGGGAGCCGGGATGCGGCTTAACCTTCAGTGAGTCCTTATGCTCACTACTCCGCTTGCCAGGCAACTGTGGAGCCTTGGCGCGCCGGTGGGAAATGGGAAAGCCGCCGGGAATGACTGCACGGCCAATGGAGAAGCAGCGCCTGAGAGGACGCCGCTCAGGGACCCCGCAACCACGAACGGCCATTGGCTTGGCTCTAACGGAACCACATCTCGCGAGGCTTGGCATTACGGGACCTTGCGCGGTCCGCCAGCTCCGCCTGGCTACTGCAGTCACAGGGAGGCTACTTCCGTCAGATCTCGCGAGACTCGGAGAAGCCCGCCGGGAGCCGGGAGCCAGGAGCCAGGAGCCTGGCAGGCGGCCGAGCCGGCGCCTTCCTGCCCGAGGAGGCATGATGGCGGCCCAGGCGCTGGCGCTGCTGCGGGATGTGTCGCGGCTGGAGGCGCCGCTGGAGGAGCTCCGCGCGCTTCAGTCGGTGCTGCAGGCGGTGCCGCTCAGCGAGCTCCGCGAGCACGTGGCGGAGCTGCGCCTTAGTCCGCTTTTCTCCCTGCTCAGCCAGAACCATCGGTGAGAGCACCCCGCTGCCTGAGCGGCGTGGGGGTGGGAGCAGGCGGGGAGGGAGACTCCGCCAAGTGTGGGCACCAGAGCGGGTGGGATGGAGGAAGGGCTTTACCCAGTCGCAAATAAAGGTATTTAAAAAGCTGAAGTTTCAGAGAGGGAAGGACCCGAGGCTGAGAGGCAAGGATTGGGGTGCAAGTCCAGCCCCTGACCATCTTATCTCCTGGCCTCACTGCCTTCATCCTGGAAGTAGGAGTTGGGGGCGGGGAAGCCAGGTGGCCCATCTGCAGGGAGGACTCCACACTCGAGTGCACAAGTGCTTGCCTTTTCTTTCTCCCCAGAGGGAGTCCTATCCTGGCAATTTTGCTAAATCCATCCACATGTTAGATTCATATACCGATTGATCCAGTAATTTAACACGCAGGTATACTTTCTATTTCATAATCTAGAAGAGTTAAAAAAATATTTGTGATCCAAAATGTTTCTACTTGAAAATATTGTATGACCCCACTTATGTGAGGTACCTAGAGAAGTCACATTCACAGAGAAAGTAGAATGATGGTCGCCAGGGGCTGAGGGAAAGGGAAAAATGGGGCGTTCGTGTTGAATGGATGCAGTTTCAGTTTCAATGGGAGATGAAAACGTTCTGGAGTTTGAAGCCGGTGATGACTGCACAACACTGTGAATGTACTTAATGCCACAGCACTCACTGTACATATAAAATGCTTAACAGGAATTTCAGAGGACTGGGGGGGAGGGGGTGTTAAATGATATGCATATATGCATAGCCCATAGACACAGACAATAGTGTGGTGAAGGCCTAGGAGTGGAGTGGAGAGGGTCCATGGGGAAACAAAGGGGGCATCTGTAATACTTTCAATAATAAAGATAAAATTTTTAAAAGAGAAAAAAAAAGATTAAAATGGGCCTGGTCACACCACTGACTCATGAACCAGCTCACAGTTTGATTCTCAGTCAGGGTACACGCCCAGTAGGAGGCGTGCGAGAGGCAGTCCATCAATGATTCTCTCTCATCATTGATAATTCTCTCTCCTACTTTATGAAATCAGTTAAAAAGATGGTAAAAAATATATAAATTTTATGGTATGTACAATTGCAATTTTTTTTTAGAGATTGGTTTTTTGGAGAGAGAAGCATTGATTTGTTGTTCCACTTATTTATGCATTCATTGGTTGATTCTCCTAACTGGAGATCAAACCTGCAACCTCAGTATATGGGGACTGCATTCTAACCAATTGAGCTACCTACCTAGGACTGCTTTTTTTTTTTTTTTTTTTTTTTTTTTTTTTTTTTTAAGGAAAAGAAACCCATTAGCGGTCTCTGCCCCCTTTTAGCAGCCTGTGATCTGCTTTCTGTCTCTGAATTTGTCTATTCCGGATATTTCATGTAAATGGAATCATTGTCAAAAGGAAGTCTTTGTGTCTGGCTTCTTTCACTTACCGTATTTTCAAGGTTCATGTTGTAGCATGCATCAGTACTTCATTCCTTTTTGTGGGGAATATTCCTTTGTGTGGATAGAACACATTTATGCATTTAATTGATGGGCGTTTGGGTTGTTTCTACTGCTATGAATATTCGTGTACAAATTTTTGTGTGAGCATGTTTTCAGTGATCTTGGGGATATGTTCATTTTTAAAGCATATTTATTGCTTAATGGCCTTTTAGCAAGATCATACCAATTTAATAGTGTGTTTCCTATTAGCAATGTGTGAGTGCTCAGTTGCTTTTACTGCTATTAAGAGACAAAGAGAAGTTGTTCTTGAAATACCTTCTGAATGTACAGATGGTAGCCATCAAATTCTGATTAATTTACTTCTTTATTAGCTCTTGAACTTCTTCCACTCTTTCATCACCTCACCATAAACTTATAACTGAAAATTCTATCTCTAACATTGACCGAGTGATTTCTAGAAGTCCGATCTAATCATGATAATTCTGGTTTAAAATCACATCTTGACTTGCCATTGCCGTCTGGGAAAAGGTGAAATCCCATAGCAGGACAGGAAAAAAAAAAAAAAAAAACAATCAAAATCTGATTGCTGTGCATTTTTAAAAATTTCATTTCTTGACATTCATCTTCTTCCTTTTACCTTCTTCCCACTTCTCTCCCGTTCTGATCCCAGTCATACCAAGTTACTTGTGGTTCCTCGAATGCATAACACTCTGTGCCTTTTCATGTGCTACTATGCCCTTTACCTTTCTTTCCTTCTCTTGGGTAACTTAAAAATGTACCCTGTGTTCTTTATTGAGTTCCCACAGCTTCCAGCGTTAAGCTAGCGTTTATCTACCGAGATTATAGTTGCCTTTTTTTTTTTTTTTCTCTATCTCCCATTAGACTGAGCTCCTTGTGGTTATAGAATATATCTTATCATTCTTTGCAGCCCCAGCACAGGCATGTTACATAATAGGTACTTGGCAAATGTTTAATAAACATCTAATGTTAAAGTAGAAGCCGATGTTTTGAAGAGAAGTGTATGTGGAGATCCTCGTTGAGCCAGGTGTCAGATATTATTAGATTCCTTTCTACCTGAAAGGACACGAACTAATGAGGTCTATGGTGTCTCCTTTAGGGAACAGACCACTTTGTGTGTATCCATTCTGGAGAGATTGCTCCAGGCTCTGGAGCCAGTTCACGTGGCTCGGAACTTCAGGGTTGACCTGCAGAGGGGGCTGACTCACCCCAATGATTCCGTAAAAATCCTCACTCTATCCCAGGTATGAAATCTTGCTAGCACACATAATAAGGGAACCAACCCTTAGTGATCACCTGCTCTGGGTAAGATTCTGTGCAGGGAGATGAAGAAAACATGATCTTTCGCTGTCCCTAGGGTGTGTCAAGTCTATTCGAGTGTACATAACTGTGACCAGGGAGATGCAAGTTAAAGTAAGAAGTTCTAAGTACCATCGGCAATATTCATCCACAAATACTGAGTTACTTTTACATGCCAGGCACTGTACCGTATGCTGTTAGAGCTACCAAGGTAAAGAAAGCATTTCTTTCCTTGCTTAGAGGATCCTCTAGACGAGAGAAAAAAGATTGCCATGCTAAGTCATGTTATGATACTGGCATGAACAAAGTTCTGATGTAAAGGTTACTAAACCGACAAATTAAAACAATTATCACTCTGGCAATCAAAATATGCCACTATTTGGGTGAAGAACTGTTGCTGAGAATGTTAGGATCTGAGCAGTTAGTTTATCCAGTAGGTATTCAATTATTGTTTTTTTCTTTTCTCCTCTAAAGTGTTTATTCAACAAATTGGGAAAAGTATCAGTTTATCATTTATGTGCCAGACACTATAGTATGTCCTTTACCTACTTAGTCTCGTTTAATCTTCATTACTATCCTGTACTTAAGTATTGTGTTCCCACTTTTCAGGTAAGAAATTAGGCCCAGAGAAGTTATTTAATTTTCCCAGGATTTCAGTTTAGCTAAAAATAAATAGAACTAGGATTTTTATTGCTTTCACTCACTGAGATGTCTCAACATTTTTTTTTTCTTTCATAGATATGACTATGCTATTGTGTGCTTGGCTTTAATGCATTTGGGTTATTTGGAATTTTTAATGACTTGTCTTATAGTTGTAATCAGTAACTCTTAAAATAATTGCACACTAAGGTAATTTGACCATCATATGTTCACTTGTTGCCCTACCTTGGAAGAGTATTTCTGATTGTTTTTTTCTTTCAGGTTGGAAGAATTGTTGAAAATTCTGATGCGGTTACTGAGGTTCTAAATAATCCTGAATTACTAAAACAAATCATTTATTGTATTGGTGGAGAGAATCTATCTGTAGCTAAAGCGGTGAGTCAGCTGCAACAGTCCACTTAAACATGCAGAGGTATCCGTGTCTTAAACGACAAAGAAAGGCTTTCTGGATTGAGAGGTGGACGTTTAGAAGGGATGATTGTGTAATTGCAGCTTCATATAGATGGTGTCAAATAAGTACTAGTAAGTGCCTTCTATTTTCTATAGTACACATATCTAAGTTATCAGCCATAGGGTTTATATGGGGTTACTTCCTAAGAAGCAAAACTTACATAATTATTTTCTGTTGAGAATGCTGTGCATCTTTTCCAATTACAAATAGTAATAGCTAAAACATAGTGAATGCTCATGGGACAGGGTGCATTCCATACTCTAATTTTCACATCAGTCCTGTGCAGTAGATATTACTATTTTGTGTTTTTATGAATTAAAGGACATTTTCTTTCCTTATAAGGCCATTAAATCCCTGTCAAGAATATCACTGACCCAAGCTGGACTGGAGGCTTTATTTGAAAGCAATCTGCTGGATGATTTGAAAACTGTAATGAAAACAAATGACATTGTTCGATATAGGGTCTATGAGGTAAGTTGGAAATCTCACTTTCTGATGCCTATGATTCAGAATGCAGGAAGGGTTACCTTGGAAGGCAAGATGGGTCATTTAACATGCATTTATTGAGTATATAGTCCGTGTTAGGCCGTATATTAGATACTGGAGAACTCTTCACCTAGTATGTGAGACAATCAAAAATATGTATACTGCTTTTCTAGTATATGGTAGAAGAGATACCATTGAAACTAGACCATGAAAAACTTAGTTGTAATATAGATGGTGTCAAATAAGTACTAGTAAGTAGTAAGAAGAAATGCTTCCCATTTACACCAGTTTTCTACTGAGCACTGTGCTAAATCCTCACATGTATTGTCTTGGTTCTCACAATAATCCCTATATATTATTATTATTAACCTCATTATTAATGGAGTAATTGGCCCAGGGCCACACAATTAATAAGCTGTATATTTAAAACAAATCCTCTAATCTAATTCTCTCTTCAGAGCTTACTAGCATGCCTTGATACTGATTTTCTTTCTGCCTCTCTAGCTGTTTCTTCTAACTAAGTCTCCTGGCTTGTTATCCTTTATTGAGCTATTAATTGTTGGGGTTTGTGAAGGCAGAATCCCAAACTCTCGTCTCCTTGTAATCTGTATTCATTTTTAGGCAATATTAGTTATCCTGTGATTTCAGTGCCCACCAGTAATGGTGATGGCTTTCATATGTAACCCTCCAACCCAGACCTACCTTTCTTTTGAGCTCAGATCTTCATGTCCAACTGTTGATTATTTCCTTGGACATATTCCGGGCCCCTCACGTTCATGTTGAAACCAAACTCCTGATCTTTACTAACCACTTCATGCCCTTAATAAAAAAAACAGCAGCAACAAACTGGCTCTGTCTCATAGTCCATGTGGTTGGCTATTAGACTTTTAGCTCATTCTCTAAGAGGCTTTGTTCTCCTGGCCACATATCCATTCAGTCATTATGTTGGGTTTTCTTAAACCCAAGCATTTGTCTTCCTTGATAAAGCCACTAGCACCCAAGTCTAAGCTACTGATCTCTCACCCGAACTACTTTAACTGCATCCAAACTGGTTGCTCTTATCCATTTTTGTCACTACTACTCTATCTTAACATGTAATCGGCATGATCTTTTAACCAAGAGGTTGTGGATTCAATTCCTGGTCAGGGCACATACCTTTGTTGTGGTTTAATGCCCCGTCAGGACATGTATGGGAGCCAACCAATCGATGTTTCTTCTTATTAAATCAATAAACATATTCCCAGATGAGGATTTAAAAAACAAAAAATAAAATCTGTTTCTGTCATTTCTCTGCTTGAAATGCTCTAGTAAGCCCTTAGAACATACTTGATAAATGAGTAAGTGAATGACTGACGAAATGCACGCATGAAAGAATGAGTTATTTATTTATTTTAATATATTTTATTGGTTTTTCACAGAGAGAGGGATAGAGAGTCAGAAACATCGATGAGAGAGAATCATCGACCAGCTGCCTCTTGTACACCCCCTACTGGGGATGTGCCTGCAACCAAGGTACATGCCTTTGACTGGAATCGAACCAGGGACCTTTCAGTCCACAGGCCGACGCTCTATCACTGAGCCAAACCGATTTCGTCAAGAATGAGTTATTCTTGCATTCTTTTTATTGTTGCTGATTCGGCTTTTGTACCTTGATGATAATTTCTTTCGTAAAATGTGCAGATACACCCACATGTAATGGAGTGTTATCGATTGCCTCTCATACGTGAACCAACTGGGAATTGAACCGGCAACCTAAGTGTGTGCCTTGACTAGGAATCAAACCTGCACCTTTTGGTGTATGAAATGACGCTCCAAACAACTGGGCCGCCTGGCCGGGGCCCAAAGTAATTTCTTATTTGTTCAGTGAAATTTTTCTACTTGTGGAGATAAATATATATAATAGATTTTAAAAAAATTTCTTATAAAGTGCCTAATCCTGCATGTATCATAAAAGGAGATTTAACAAATTTGGGGTTGTTTTAACCCTTTCTGTTTTTCTCTTCTTTCAGCTAATTGTGGAGATCTCTTCTGTGTCACCAGAATCTCTAAACTGCTGTTCCACCAGTGGGTTGATAACCCAGCTCCTCAGAGAGCTGACTGGAGAGGATGTGCTGGTCAGGTATGTTGGCTGAGAGAGTTCTTAGAGCAACATGTCCTCCTCTGGAGGGCCAGAAAACAAACCTGGGACTTACCTTCCCTAGTGAGCTTGTGCCTAGGTTGCAATCTCATGACAAAGTATATTCTGAAGAAAAGGTCTTTAGAAAATTGCTCAAGTGATATTGTAACAACATACTGGAACTTAGTATGTAGCCCCATATGAGAATACAGCTACTTTTAAAAATATATATTTTTTTATTGATTTCAGAGAGGGAAAGAGATGGAAACATTAATGATGAGAGAGAATTATGGATCGGTTGCTTTCTGTAAGGATTGATCCCCCAACTCCGGCATGTGCCTTTGACTGGAATCGAACCTAGGACCCTGCATGCTGACGCTCTATCCACTGAGCCAAACTGGTTTCAGCCAAATTCTTGATAACTATATTGTTGTGGGGTCGAACCCTGGGAATAGACACCAGGTTGGCAGAGGCAGAGAGCATGAGGGTTCAGGTGGTGAAGGAGGTGCTCCCATCTAGGCGAGGCATTTTCATCTGGCAGTCCTCTGGAAAAATCGCTTGCCTCCTGCGGATGCAGGTGGCATGGGGGGAACCGGTGACCTCTATACTGCAATCAGACTCCCTGATCTTTCTGAAAAGCTCTTACTGATTTTAAAATTATAACTTAAGAGTTGACACACACACACACAAAGACCAAGTGGCCCACAAAATATTTTCTGTAATCATTAATTACATTAAACTTAAATGGTCAATTGAAACAAACAGTTCTGAGACCGTTCCTCCACCACTGATCAAGACTGGGTGGCGGCAAAAATAAGATTCATTTAGGTGGGGTTTTTTTGAGTTTGCTGGGCAGACTTGGTGACTTTGCCAGCTCAAGCTTCCTTCTTGTAAATAGTTAATTTTAGAATTTGGTCTCTGCTTTTAACCTTTTTGGACCATAATTGTTACAACTTCGTACCTCCAAATTAATTAACATAGTATAAATTTTGTTAGGTGGCTGATTCCCCTCTGACAGAAAGCAAAGCACCCCTGGGAAAAAGGAATCCCAGTGGCCACTCGGGGCAGTTTGCTAGCCGTCAGAGCACTCAGCTTTAAACAAATTAAAAGTTTCTTTCTCTTTTTTTTTTCTTTTTCACAGATTTTCACACTTACATGAACAAATAATTTATACCCAAGCAAACAAACAAAATATCAAACAAACGTCTGTACTTATACCCTTTTTTTAAAAAAAATATATTTTATTGATTTTGTACAGAGAAGAAAGAAGGGAGAGAGATACAAAGCTAGAAACATCGATGAGAGAGAGTCATCGATCAGCTGCCTCCTGCACACCTCCTACTGGGGATATGCCCGCAACCAAGATACATGCCCTTGACCGGAATCAAACCCGGGACCTTTTAGTCCCCAAGCCGACGCTCTATCCATTGAGCCAAACCGGTTTCGGCTACTTAGACCCTTTCAGTAAACAACATTACAATGTTTCAGCAAAACAGAAATAGCACTCATGTTGGACAAAGGAAATAAGACTATTACTCTAGGAACTGTGAGGGGAAAGTTATCCTACAGACCAGCGTTGACCTGGGAAAAAGAGTGGTTAAATCAAAAGCATTAACATCAGAGCTGTACTTGTCCGCCCATTTCTTGAAGTCCTGGAAATTTTTCAAAAAACATTGTAGAGGGGAACACAGAGACATAAACGAACCTTGAACATTTTGACAGAGACCAAAACACAAAACAAATAGGCCTGACACAAACACAAGACAACTGTCCGGACAACTAAGGCTGAGGACACACGCTGTAGTGTCCTCCCGGGCCGAGGACATCATCGTGTCCTCTGGCCAGAGCCTGGAGGTTAAGCCGCGTCCAGCCCTCCAAGGACGCTTACCCTTTTGAGATCTCAACCTGGTCGCCTTACCTCCTGAGACCGGTCTTCCCTTCTGCAATAAATCCTTGTGGCTTTTGTCTCTGGCTAAGGTCTCCGAGAGGAGGGAGAGCCTCCTGCCCCTACTGGGGGGGGTCTCGGGGTGTCTCTCTCTCTCTCTCTCTCTCTCTCTCTCTCTCTCTCTCTCTCTCTCAGGTATCTCGCTGGGGCCTCCAAATGTTGTGGGGTCAAACCCTGGGTTCCAAATAAGACCACCGGAGGCTGATTAATTAAAAAAAGCAGGCAGGGATTTACTGAACTGGCCAGGGCAGCCGCGAGAGAACCACACGCAGGTGGTCTCCACACGACTGCACCGTTTCTGGGGTAGGCAGTCCCTTTTAAAGGTTCAAACCACAGGAATTTTCCTTTGTTCTAAATTCTAAATCCTAAAGACTAAATTCTAAAGACGGGACAGCCCGAAGGGTAGGTTCCCAGTCACATCCTGCTGGACATTGGAATGCGGCCCTATCTTGTGATAGCCATGACACAGAAGCAGAGCTCAGCGGTTAGTCTCTAAAGGTTATCTACAGTTTCTATCCCTGAAGCTACTGAGTCAGTGGGAATCATTCTCCTGTGGTCCTGGTCCAGGCAAGGGAAAATTGCCTTAGCCTCCAGGTCTTCACCTGGAAGCTGAGGTAAGTACCCAGTGTTTTAATCAGATGCAACAGCCACACTTAGCGGGGTTAAAATTCAAACAGCAGTTTTTACCAAAGTATGGTTGCCTCTATATTTCAATATAATCAGGATTATGGTTACCTGGGGGCTTACTGTTCTGTTCTCTGTGCTTTTGTATATGTTTGATATATCAAGATAAAACAAAAGTTGTGTGGGTTTTTTTTTTTTTTTTTTTTTTTTTTTTAATCTCTTAGGAAGTAGCTTTATTATAGTTGAAATAATAAGTGCACCTTAAGTCAGAAAGTCAAGATTTAAGTCTAAACTGTACCTTGTAATAAAGATGTGATCCTGGCTGAAAGCAGTTTGGCTCAGTGGATGGAGCATCGACCTGTGGACTGAAGGGTCCCGGGTTCGGTTCCGGTCAAGGGCATGTACCAGGGTTGTGGGCACATCCCCAGTGGTAGGTGTTCAGGAGGTGGCTGGTCGATGTTTCTCTCTCATTGATGTTTCTAGCTTTCTCCCTCTCCCTTCCTCTCTGTTTAAAAAAAAAAAAAAGATATGATCCTGGACAAGTCACTGAAATTTTCTCATCCTACTCATCCTATACCCTTATGTGAAAAGTAGAGCCAGGATTATTATTGACCTTTCAGATTTCGTGGGAAGAATTAAATAAGATAACCTACATGAAAACAATTCCTAAACCATGCTAATCATATGCAAAATCTTGGCATTTCAGAGCCACCTGTATAGAAATGGTGACTTCAATGGCATATACTCATCATGGACGACAGTACCTTGCTCAAGAAGGAGTGATTGATCAGATATCTAATATGATTATTGGAGCAGATTCGGACCCTTTCTCTAACTTCTATTTACCAGGTGAGAAATACTGATGCCTGTAGAAATGATGTGCATGATTTGTTTCTGAGTTATCGCTGTCAGAGCAGACCAGGGATTATCATCTTTAGAGCTTATTCCCTTGAGATGATACCTGACTCATAGCCTCTTAATGAGGTAGAATCTATTGCTCTGGGAGCCATGCACTATTGATTCTGATTTTCTGGAAATACTACTGTTTAGATCATTAGGATTGTTTCCTGTGCAGTTCAGCCAAAAGAAACATAAATTAAAATACTAAGTGGTATTTACAGTATATTCACAGATTCACCAAATCTTTGAGTTGTAATCTTTAGCTAATATAGGAACTATTCCAGCTGTTCTGTTCAAGGACATGATTGATTAGTTCTTCTTGAGCATTTTCAGAAATTGGAGATTTACTCCTTCATTAGTTAGCCTAGATTACTTCATTGAAGAGAGTCTCCTTTAAAATTTCTTCCTAATAATAACGCCAAACTTACCCTCCTATGATTTGTATCCACTGATCGTTGTTCTTTGTTCTCCCTCTTGCTTTTTGAACCCAGCTCCATTAACACCCTGGGGACCACTCTTTTTAGGTCCTCCAGTATTTCCTTATGGTCTGTCTGATTTCAAGACAGCATAGGACTATAGCCTTTCTTTTTCTGGCCTGTAGTTTATTACTGTCCCTGTGAAAACATAGGACCTGTAGTTTATGCTATCTTCTTCCCCTGTTAAAATATATTTTTTTGTAAATATCTCTAGGATTTGTGAAGTTTTTTGGGAACTTGGCCATCATGGATAGTCCTCAACAGATCTGCGAGCGTTTTCCAGTTTTTGTGGAAAAAGTCTTTGAAATGACAGAAAGTCAGGACCCCACCATGACTGGCGTAGCAGTGGACACAATTGGAATTCTGGGGTCCAATATTGAAGGAAAACAGGTTTTACAGAAGACAGGTTGGTATGACTTGTTTTGGCTTTCTTTAAGGCTATCTTAATTTTTTTTAAGTTTTCATTTAATATGTCTTTATTTTAGAGAGAGAAGAAGAGAGGGAGAGAGAAACATCAATTGGCTGCCTCTTGCATATTTGGGCATGTGCCCTGACCATGAATCAAACTGGTGACCTCTCAGTAGAGGAAGTCATGCTCAACTAACTGATCTATACCAGCCAGGACAGAGATATCTTAATTTTTGACAAGGCTTCAATATATAAGTTTGCTGGCTGGCACATTAATTGTATTGTTAAAACTATTTTTATATAGGGCAGTCTTTTACCACAACCTTGGACTCATTCCTAAAAAGTCTCATAATTATTAGTGAATATTTTTTTAGAGCTTAGCTGGAACAATCACTCTTTTCCGCTACATCTTCCTTAAATAGTATTCACGGTAAAAAGATGATGGGCTGGAGCAGAAAGAACTGGGTTCTTTCACCGTCTTAGCTTTTTTTTATTTACATTTTCTTCACTATTCGTTTTCCTTGTGTGTTTTTTTTCCCTCCCAAATCTTTATTGTTTAAAGTATTTCATTTTCCGGGGTGTTGATCTGTGAGTGCCTTGTGTGGGGTCTGGATGAGGTTGGTTGATCTATTTGGAAGTGTCTTTTGTGTGAAGTGTATCCTTGGCCATGTGGAGGTATTATTGATTTGAGAAAATGCTAAGTAACTGATTTACTACCTGAAAAATTTAAAGTTCTGAAAGGATAAGGTTTCTTGCCAAAAAGTATTTCATTTTCCTAATTTTTAAAAAAGGGTATAACAACTACTTTTCAGGGTTGTTATGAATATTTAATGAAAAGCCACATTTTTATATGTGTAATGTCAAGGACTGGGGAAAAATTATTACAAGATGTTAAGAGTGATGCTTCTGAAAAAAAAAAAAAAATCAATAAAGAGTGATGCTTTTGCCCTGGACAGTGTAGCTCAGTTGGAAGAGTGTTGTCCCATGCACCAAAAGGTCACTTGCTCAATTCCTGGTCAGGAACATGCCTGGGTTTCTGGCTTGATCCCCAGTAGTCAGCCATTGATCTCTCAGATCAATGTTTCTCTCTCTTTCCCTCCCTTCCTCTCTCTCTCCGAAATCAATAAACCCATTTTTTAAAATGTGGTACTTTATCGAACATCCATGCATATCTTGAAAACACTGAATATGGCACAAAAAAATTAATTTGGTGGCACTGTTAAAACCCTTGTATGAAGTGTATGTTTAAAATAATAAACCGTTGTGTATCACAATTAGTATCCTTGTTATATGTACTTTTCTAAGTGCATTTTCCTATGACATAGAACCCTTTTACAATCCTTCAAAGAACATACTGCTGTCATTCTCATTTTATAGATAAGGTAGTTGAAACTCAGAGAAGTTAAGATAATTTTCTAAGATCATACAGACTGTGTGGCAGCTGCTACTTCAATTCAGGTCCTTTGATTCCTAATCCTCCACATTTTGACTCATATATGCTGTATTGCATATGAATGTTTGTTGTAGGCTTCTCACTTGGTCTCTGACTACATGTTTATTTTTATATTGGTTTAGGTTGGTAGAGGTCATAATATTTGAAAGCAAAGCACACTTTAAAAAAACTTCACTTAAGATAGCTATTATTTAAAAAAATAAGTGTTGACACTGTGAAAATTTTATTAGTATTTTACCCTTGTATATATGTATTTTTTTAAAATATATTTTATTGTGGTTTTTTTTACAGAAAGGAAGAGAGAGGGATAGAGAGTTAGAAATATCGATGAGAGAGAATCATCGATCGGCTGCCTCTTGCATGCCTCCTCCTGGGGATGTGCCTGCAACCAAGGTACATGCCCTTGACTGGAATCAAACCTGGGACTTTTCAGTCCGCAGACCTACGCTCTACCACTGAGCCAAACCGGTTTTGGCTACCCTTGTATATATGTAGTGGGAATGTAAATGGTGTGGCCATTGGGGAAAACTGTAGTGGTTCCTCAAAAAATTAAACTTGGAATTACCATATGATTCAGCAATTCCAAAATAATTGAAAACAGGCTCAAATAGATATTTGTACGTCTGTGTTCATTATTAGCTATTATTTACAATAGCCAAAAAGGGTAGAAATTGCTCATGTTTGTTGATGGATGAAAGGATAAAGTATGTTGTGTATATACAATGGAATATTAATCAGTCTTATGAATGAATGAAAATCTCATACATGCTACAAAGAAAAACCTTGAAGACATGCTGAGTGAAATAAGCCAGACAAAAGGACAAATACTATATAATTGCGCTTATACACTACCTAAAGTTGTCAAATATGCAGAGATAGAAAGTAGAATTGTGGTCATCAGGGAATGAGGACATTAGGGAATGGGGAGTTAATATTTAATTAGTACAACTTTTAATTTGAAATAATGAAAGAGTTCAGGAGATGGGTGGTAGTGATGGATGTACAATAATGTGAATGTGCTTAATGACACAACTATATGCCTAAAAATAGTTAAAATGGTAAATTATTTCATTTTATTTGTATTTTATGATAATAAAAACTATCTCATCTCTCAAAGGAACTCGATTTGAACACTTACTGAAGCGGATAGGATATCAAGCAAAGAATGCCTCAACAGAGCTCAGAATTAGGTGTTTGGATGCGGTTTCATCTCTTCTTTATTTACCAGTAAGTAGAGTGGGAAATTAATGAAACATAGTGGGATGTGTTGGGAGAATAAGTCTGTACGAGTTAACATAATACTGGTTAATTAATATAAATGTTGATCAGATAAATGCCATCTTTCTTACTCTTAGTATAAGAGTGTAACCTTCTTTATATGATTAGTGACATGTGGAATCATAGAGTATTGGAACTGGATCAGACCCTAGATATTGCTTAATCAACCTCATTAAAAAACAATTAAAAAAACTTGATAAAGGCCTTAAATGGTTTGGCTCAGTGGATAGAGTGTCGGCCTGTGGACTGAGAGGTCCCGGGTTCGATTCCAGTCAGGGACATGTACCTTGGTTGCAGCGCATCCCTAGCGGGGGTTGTGCAGGAGGCAGCTGATCGATATTTCTCTCTTATCAGTGTTTCTAACTCTATCCCTCTCCTTTCCTCTCTGTAATAAAATAATAAAATATGTTTTTTTAAAACCTGATAAAATCTGGGGTGAGTTTGGGGAAAAGTGCTCTAGACTTGGCAGAGCTCACACAGCAGGTTACTGACAGAGTGCTATGTTTCCTGGCTTCCAGATGTCTTGCGATTTTTCTTTTCTGTCCTGTAGCCTGAGCAGCAGACTGATGACCTCCTGAGAATGACAGAATCCTGGTTCTCTGCTTTATATCGGGACCCGCTGGAGCTCTTCCGTGGCATCAGTAATCAACCCTTCCCTGAACTCCACTGTGGTGCCTTAAAAGTGTTCACGGTAGGCAACCCCTTCTTTCCCACAGGTCCTCTGGGACTCTGTCTGTTCAACACATGCGTGCCTTCACTGAGCCAGGCACTGCGCCATAGTAGGATACACAAGTGCATAGTAGTTTCTGGCCTCTGCTGTTACTATAGACTAACGAGGGAGACAGGTGAGTGTACATACAGTTTCAGTAAATGGTATTAGATGCTGTGGCAGAGCACAGAGTACTATGAGTTCACAGAATTAATACCAGATTCCTTATCTACCATCAAGTAAGCCCCTTATTGTCCTAACCAGTCTCCTTCATGAGCCTTATTTCTGGCCCTTCCCATTCTGGCCCTTAATGCTCTAGTGATACCAAACTGCTTGCTTCATTTCTCTGGGCCTTCATGTGCCCTCTGCTTTAAACATTCTTCCCTGACTTTGCTTGTTAACATCTTACTCACACTTCAAGGACTGATCAGGTATCTCTTCAGTGAGCTTTGTTCAAACCCACAAGGTTGAGTTAATAAATGTTGGCTCTTGTATTTTGCATGTATTTATTCATTCAGCAAAAAACCTTTAAAACATATTTTTGTTGATTTCAGAAAGGAAAGGAGAGGGAGAGAGAGATGGAAACACCAATAATGAGAGACTCATTGTTCAGCTGCCTCTGGCTCAGCCCCTACAAGGGTTTGAGCCTAATTGAACCATTACCTCCTGGTCAGCGCTTAATCACTAAGCCATACCAGCTGGGCACATTCAGCAAATATTGATGTTTTTGGTGGGGTTTTTTTTGCTAGGTGCTAGGAAGACAATAGTGAACAAAAATATACAAAGACCTTCCTTTCATGTAGCTCACTGTCTGTTGAGGGACCCAGGCAGTAAGTGTAATTGTATAGTTCATTATATAATTAGAGTTGTGGTAAGGATTATACCTCTGCGTTCTATTTATTACATTACTAGTGGCCCGGTGCATGAAATCCATGCACTCGGAGCGGGGAGGGTCCCTTAGCCCAGCCTGTGCCCTCTCACAGTCTGGAAGCCCTCAGGGGATGTCTGACTGCTTTGGAATGTGAGAGAGGCTCCAGCCACCACCACTATGCTCACCAGCCTTGAGCCTGGCTTTTCTGGCTGAGCAGCACTCAGGGGATGCACTGACCACCAGGGGGCAGTTCCTGTGTTGAGCATCTGCTCCCTGGTGGTCAGTGCATGTCATAGCAACTGGTCGTTTTGCTGTTCGGTCTAATATTAGCCTTTTATTATATAGGACAGTAGTTGGCAAATTGCGGCTCACAAGCCACATGCGGCTCTTTGGCCCCTTGAGTGTTCTAACGCCACTTCTTCAAAATAGACTCACCCGGGCCAAAAACCAACTTCTGCGCATGGGCCATGAAATTTCAATCACTGTATGTGCATGCCCACACATGGTATTTTTTGGAAGAGCCGCATATGGCTCGCGAGCCGTGGTTTGCCGACCACTGATATAGGATGTTGAAAATGTTTATTTATTGACCTGTTAAACAGAGTTTTATTTATTTTTTAATAAATATTATTTTAATGTTTATTTCATTTTTGTATTATAATTTATTTACCCCCTCACTGTTAGACATTTATATTATAACTGTCACACTGTAATGAATATCTTTTTTAAAAATATATCTTTATTGCCAAAACTGATTTGGTTCAGTGGATAAAGCGTTGGCCTACGGACTGAAGGGATCCCAGTACGATTCCGGTCAAGAGCATGTGCCTTGGTTGCGGGCACATCCCCAGTGGTGGGTGTACAGGAGACAGCTGATTGATGCCTCTCTCTCATCAATGTTTCTAACTCTATCCCTCTCAATTCCTCTCTGTAAAAAAATCAATAAAATGTATTAAAAAAAAAAAAAAATATATATATATATATATATATATATATATCTTTATTGATTTCAGAGAGGAAGGGAGAGATAGAAATATAAATGATGGAAGAGAATAATTGATCAGCTGCCTCCTGCATACCCCCTTGATCTGAATCAAACCCAGGACCCTTCAGTCCACAGGTCAATGCTCTATCCACTGAGCAAAACTGGCTAGGGCTATAATGAATATCTTTGTATACAAAGACTTTTTAACATTTAGATTTTCTTAATGTAGGTTCCTAGGAGGGAATTTACTTGGGCAAAACAGTAACATTTTTAAGGTTCATGTTGCCAAATGTTTTTTCTATGGATTGTGCCATTGACTAACAAACTTAATTTCTTAAGACTCAAAGGAATTGTGTTCTCTCTGCCTTTCATTCCAGGCCATTGCAAACCAACCCTGGGCTCAGAAACTTATGTTTAACAGTCCAGGTTTTGTAGAGTATGTGATGGACCGATCCACGGAGCATGACAAAGCTTCAAAGGATGCCAAATATGAACTGGTAAAAGCACTCGCCAATTCCAAGACAGTTGCAGAAATCTTTGGGAACCCAAATTATTTGAGACTCAGAACTTACGTGAGTGAAGGTCCATACTACGTGAAACCTATTTCCACAACAGCAGTGGAAGGAGCTGAGTGATTTCTTCTAGAATCTAAATCAATTTTGGACCAAAACTTCTAAGCCATTTGACTCTCTGTATTAACAGAGACTTCTCTCCCTCCAGAATTATCATACAGTGTTGAACCTAATTTTTATCACCAGCATTTGTTGTGTTTCTACATAAAGTACAGTGTGAAACCAAGAGAGCACAAACTTGCTTATAATTGAAGCAGATATTTTTCACATTCATTTGACTGTCTTACTGTTTACAAGAAGATGGAAGTTTTGTTCAAGTTTGCTTCAGCCCTGGCCAGGTGGCTCAGTTGGTTGGCACGTCATCCTGTATACCAAAAGGTTTCGGGTTTGAATTCAGGTTGCAGGTTCGATTACTGGTTGGGTTGTATACATGAGGCAACCCATCAGTGTTTCTCCCTTCCTCTCTCTAAAATCAATAAGTAAAATCTGCTTAAACTAAAATAGAACCAAATTGTTTCTCTTTGCCATCTTTTTTTTTTTTTTTTTTTTTTTTTTAATCCTTTGCTCTCTCTTGGTTTTATTTACAAAGTTTTGGATAAAAATATTCTCTGAAAAACAAGCCAAATGGGATCTCAAAATTATGTTCCCTATAATAATAAATACTTTGAAAAGATCTTTTTCTTTTTTGTTGTTGCTATATTTTCTTTGAAAAATAAACTTTTAAAGAATGTTTCTAGTATTCTAGATGCTTTTTAAAAAATATTTATCAATGGATTTTACTCTTGTGTTTTTTTTGGGTGGGGGAGGAGAAGTAGGGAGAGGAATGATAACATGCTAATTCAGAAAAGTCTCCAGACTTTATTTATTGGTGGGTCTTGTTGAGAGTTTTGCTTCTAGTTTTTCAAATTCATCAAGTCAATATTGAGTTGATCAGAGAAAGGGAAACAAACTCTCAATAGTCAAGACAAGATCATTAGGGTGGGCCCTAATCCAATGATTGATGTCCTTAGAATAAAAGGTAAGTTTGGAAACATATACAACACAGAGGAAATATATGAGGTCACAGCCACACAGGAGACAGCCGTGAGAAGGAGGAGGCAAAGATTAAAGTGATACATCTCTAAGCCAAGGATTGCTGGCAACCACCAAAGCTAGAAGAGACAAGGAAGGATTCTCCACTATAGGTTTCTGAGAGCATGTCCCTGCTGACAACTTGATTTCGGACTTCTCATCTCTAGAACTCCAAGCAAGTAAGTTTCTGTTGTTTCATGTCACCCTATTTGTGGTACTTTGTTATGGAATCCCTAGGAAACTAATAAAGAGTATATACATAACAAAATATGAATTGGTTACATCCTATCTATAAATCATCTAATTAGTACTTAATGAAAATCGTTTCGCAAAAAGAGGCCCAAGTCTACATACTGGTGAGGTTTAAGTTACTCCATACAAGGTAGCTAAAACTTTGAATATAATCTGCCACCCAGATTACTAAAATATTTCCTGTTTGTAGACAAGATGAACAGTTGTTGAATTTCTTATTTTGCATTTTCTTTAACTGCATTCTCAAAAATTAGTCACCTCTGCTATCATGCCAGTTTTATAAGAATAAGATTTTTTAAAATTCACTAGTTGTAAAGAAACAAGACTTGGTTATAATTAAATTTAATGTTCTAACTTTTCTGGACGAGAGGTTTTATTTGGAAAAGAGTCATACCAACTTACATTCTTTAAAATGATATTTCAATATGATAACAGTGTATCAGGGCACTAAAAACACTTTGCAACTTTCTGAGTACAATTAAAAACTACATAAAGCACAAAGTAGGAGTACTTTCTGTAATAAGGTTGGAGGTTAATTTAAAAAGAACACACGTATAAGGAAAAGAAATCCTAATCCCCAGAATACATGGCATTGTTTTTTACGGTACCAATATGAAAACGTTTAAAGCTGTCAAGGTATGTCAGAAGCTTGCAGGAAATTAGCCCAGAGTAAGTTTCCAACAGTGTACATTCTTTCCCATCATTAATTTCCTTCCATGCCAAGGGCACTTCGGCATCAGTAGTTTCTGAAGATGTGAAGATGAACTTATAGCAACATCTGTTGTATCTGATGTGTCTTTTCCCAGAAAACCTTGAACTGTGGATGGGTATGAGGCCAACAAGCTTGGCACAAATCCCTACAAACACATCAGCAGGTACCATAATGGGTACTTCTTTGAAAACTATATACATCATCCGAGCCACGTCTTGGGACATAATAAAAGCCTCACCACTACAGTAATCCGGGTAGTACTTTTCTGGGTATTCGATAAGAGGGACAAATTCTTGGCTAGTAGGGTCTCTATTGGGCATATCCTGGTGGATAACTCTTCCTACATAGATATCTTCAAGGTGTGCTTTCAGATTGAGAAGGTAACTGATCAAGCTCAGTAGATTGACAAACACATCTTCATCAACTTTAAGAATGAATAAAGCATTAGGGCAGAAGGTCACAGCCCACTGGGTCATTGTGATGATCTTTAGAGTTTGGTTCTCGGCACTGTCCAAAAAGATTCCTTCGATTATATCGTTATTTGTATAGGACTCTTGGTCTATCTCCTTCTGGGTACTTGCCAAAATAGGCATCCCCAAAGCAAACAGTGTGAGGATGGGATGCTTTTGGACACTGGTCATGTTACCCCAGGTTTTTCTGATGAGGTCCCGTCTTGTCCGATTTCCGGGACTACTGAAGATGAGAGAGAGCAAAAATATATCCTTCCCTTTACACACCTCCGACTGGCTCAAGACATAATATTTGGAAAGGTTACTTCTCAGGGGCTCCGTGTTCAATTTTCTTGCCCTAGCCTTAATTTCAAGAACTTTCATATCTACGTAAGGCAAAGCATGCAGAAAGTATTCTTCCACAAAATCAGCCCCAAAAAACAAGGCATGGAATAGGATAACGTTAAACAGAATGAAACACCACTGGTGAGTCCGAAGTCTGCAGAATGTCACCTAAATAAGAAAAGGACACATGTTCATTCAACCTTCCTCTCCATTTCTGTTTTGCCCCCATCAAACACTAACTATATCTCTTACAACACTTAGTGGTACACTATTGTAAATGTTTGTTTTTGTTAATCTGTCCCCAGCTAGATCATGGCCTTTTGGACAGCAGGCATCATGCCTATATCTCTTCTCCAGTAGTGCTGAGTTCAGTGTTTGGCACAAAGGGGAAAGTGAATAAAATGTTGGTTGCTTTCTTGCCTGCTTACTATATACAAGGCTCTGTGTCAAAGCAGAGTCCCAGTAGGCACATAGATATAAAGTAACAAGTAGTTAAAAGCCTATAGGAAAATACATGATGTTCTTTCTGGAATTGGAAGATCTTGGATCAGTTTCTTCTCTAATTACAAAGGTCAAGGGCTATTTTTCAACGACAAGGTTGCTTTTGTTGGCCACTGCACGACGGCTACTATCAAACATTTACATTATTCCAGTATGACTTTTCAACTTACTCTGATACTTAATTCTGATATTGTCTGTTTTGACAATGTTCCTTAAAATCCATCTGAGATGTCTGTCAATATGGGCATATTCCTGCTATCTGCTTAGCATCCCATTCATAATCTAGGACAGAGTGGTGTCAAGCTTCCATCACTTTATCAAAAGAGATGGCAACTTTCCATCTAGAAGAGTATATGCAGTTTTGTAATATAATAGATCCAGGAAACATTAAGGGAATTAAATCCCTGTTCATTGGCGTTTCCATCAACAAAATCTCCATAATAACAGGTACTTCTCATTGAACACTTGTCATGGGCCAGTTGCATGCCTTAATCATGTAGCCATGGCAATATCCCTTTCAGGTAGGTTTTTCAAAATTAAGTTCTGCATTGAGCTGTTGAGTAATTTGCCTAATATCATTCAATGTGTAAGAGGGTGGAGTACAGCCATGATTTGAACTCAAGTATGTCAAATTCCAAAGCTCACTCTTAACCACTAGAGAATCCTGACTCCTATCTTTTACTTTTCCATGTCTGTTAAACAGGAAAAAACAACCAAACCAAAGTCCTGATATTAGAATCTGAATGCCTTTCCATTTTCTCAGTTCTGATTATTTGTACATGAAGAAACTCCAGCCACCTCTAAGGCTATTGTAATAGATAGCAAATGCTTCAGAGATTATAAGAAACTTACCTGCATGTTGTCTGTGAGCAATTTCAGGGCTTTGAAAATTACTGAGTCCAGATGCCAAATTATGCCCAAATGTCTGTCAGGATCAAGTCAGTCTAACCGCAATTGAAGTAAAGTACTTTGTGCTTCAGGCTTTAAGGATAAGGTTTCTAGCCAATCAACCTGAGCTTTGTCCCAGAATACCTGCTGGCTGTGTAGGAGAGCAAGTGCTGATCATGTTACAGCTAGAGAGAATCCAGAACAAAGAGTTAAAAAAAAAAAAAAAAGCAAACCTCTTCAAATGCTTCCACTCTTCTGTACCCCTTGAAACTGACCTTTTGTCTTTACGCCAGTTTCTGATGAAGTATGACTGGGAGTTGAAAGAACAGTTCACCCACACCACCTCTCCACAGCATCATCACACAAGGAGAAATGTCATATAGTATTTCTGGAGTGCACCTCAGGCAACTGAACAGTTGACGTAATTCATGCCCCCCACACGTGCACATGCAAGAAAGGTAATAAACATTAAGGAATATATGTCATACCCGTGAGTGCAATTTTTCTCCCCATATAAACAAATGGTGAGGTTTGGGGTATGTTTCATTGGGAAGGATTTTGAATTCTTAGTGTAGGCTATGGAAAGAGCTTTACTAAATCAATTATATGTCACCCAACTACCTCTCCCAGGTAACTAGCCCACAATGGAAAATAACATACACGTTATTTTAGCCTGAATTGAAGAGACTGAGCATTTGATATTTAGCATCAGCTATGTTCCTAGAGGATATATATGTAGGAATTATCTCAAGCATTGTTTCCACCACTAAGTTTAATATCAGGAAAGAACAGCATCCAGCATATTTTCATGTTTCTGTCACAGAAGCAGTTGTACTGAGCACTCTGTTATCAAACCAGGCTATTTTTTTCCCTCTTCTTTTCATATGTTGATTTTCCTACAGGATTTTCAGTTTTTGTAATTACTTGACTAGGAATAATTCATTACATTTAAAGTTGTCTATGTTTTCTCAACAATCATTGCTTAATATTGGAACTTTTTACAAAGTTGGGAAGCCATTCAATGAAAGGGGTTTTTTATATATAATCAATCTAACAATTAAATAGGTCTTGGAGATATTGAATTGAAAACATCCTATTTTGCAATTTTTATTTTTTTAGACCCATATATTTTGGTCCTGGGTTTCTTCTGAGCTTAAACTTAGAGAATTTTGTTTCTTTGTCCATAACAGGTTCACACAATATATTGCCTCTGGAGCAGCTCCATCTGGAATTTCCAGTTTGAGTCATCAAACTCCTACCATATTTGGATTGAGATTGTTTGCTGGCAACATATAGAGATGTTTGGTTTTCTTGATTACCTTAGTACTGCCTTCTCTTTCATGGGGGTTATCTGATCTGTGTACTCATGTCTTCCTTCATTTTCTTAAAATGTTGTTAATAGTGACCCTGTGTCTTAGAAGCCTGCAGAGTCATCCTGTTGCCTACTAAATCAAATGTGCTCTCTTGAGACCTGACTTTCTAGGACACCATACTTGGCTCCACTCCACACAGTCATTTTTCATTTCCCATGTTTCAAGTACTGTAGATGGATTCAGGCTATTTGGAGTCCTGCTCAACACTAACTGTATAGACTGTCTTACATTTATATTATGTGTTATGCCTATATCACTCAACTGAGCTGTCCAGCATAGTAGCCATAAGCCACATGGTCCCAGGGCTTCGCACAGGGCCCACACTGACCATTTAATTATTTTTGTTGCTTTTGAGAGAGCAGAAAAGCAGAGAGAGAGAGAGATTGATTTGTTGTTCCACTTATTTAATGCATTCATTGGTTGATTCTTATATGTGTCCTGATCAGAGACCATGCATATTGGGATGGTGCTCTAACCAATTGAGCTACCAGCCAGGGTCAAAACTGCAATTAATTAAAATTAAATACAATTAAGATTTTATTTCCTTAGTCACATTAGGTAATTTTCAAGTGTTTGAGAGCCACCAGAGGTTACTAACTGCCCTATTGTACAGTGCAGATAGAGAATACCGTTGCTGAAAGTCCTATTGGACACTGCTGGTATAAGATGCATGTAGTGTGTGTGTGTGTGTGTGTGTGTGTGTGTGTGTGTGTGCGCACTCGTACATGAGATTTATGAGCCCTTATGGAGAGATAAATATACATATGCTCTGAAGAAGGCCTATGTCAAAATATTCTTTTGACCTGGGTTTCTCTATCTCTAAAAATGGAGCTGATAATAGTAACTAGCATGTAGGGTTGTGGTGGGAATTGAATGCTATAACATAAAAAGTAGCTTGACACTAAAGATTGTTTCATCTCCTTAGTTCTCAGAATGATCAGATGAGGAAAATAAAACAAGAGGTTAAGTAACTAGGCTGTGGGCACAGCCAGAGAGTGTAAGAGTTGAGGTTCAAGTAATAATCTTGAGTAATAATCTCTTTCTTTCCCTCACCAACCTTAATTTTTTCTCCTTAGCACCTGTTAAAGTTTGCATCATGTCTTATTTATTTGTCTGTCTCTCCCACTAGGAGATATGCCCCAGAAGGTCAGGATTTTTGTGCTTTTTGTTCACTAACCCTCTCCCTTGAACATAATAAATGTTTGAGACATAATAGGTGCTTAGTAGGTTGTTTGACTTTGGGCATGTCTCTTAACTTCTCCTTCGTCTCCTCCACAAAGTAAGAATAACGGAAAAAGTGCCTGGGAACATAAATGCGCTGGTTATATTCCCATATTCTGGAAATAAGCTTAGGTCCAGGCTCCACAACTGTCAAGAGAACCGTATTGCGCATGCTCCGCCGCCCTCGCCGCTCTCAGCCTGCTGCTTCCCCCTTGAGGCGGGGGCCGGAAGTGCAGCCGCGTCCGCTGGGCGCCGCGGGCGGAGGGACGCGCGGAGATGACGCAAGCAGCACCGGAAGCCGCTCCCCGGTTGGATAGCGGACGGAGAGCGGCGGCCGCGGGTCCAGGTCTGTTCTCTGTACGAGGCGGGGCCGGTCGGGGAGCGGGTTCGCAGCCGCCCGAGCTTCTGCTGACCCGCCGCGCCCCCGGCCGTTGTTGTTTTTCTCCCTGCAGGCGCCATGGCTGTGGAGCGGACCCGGCCGCTGCGAGGCTCTGGCGGCCGGAGCGCGCCTGGTCGGTGTGGGCCCCGCGCGAGGTCCCGGGCCCTGGGGCGCTCGCTCAGGTCAGTGCCGCGCGGAACACGCTCCCGGAGCCGGGGACCTGGGAGCCACAGACGGGTGGAAGGGCTCTGGAGTTGATGTTAGACTTGGGAACATGGAGCCTCGGAGTTACTGCCTCAGTTTCCTTGGCTGCGAAATGCGTTGGCAGTGACGCTGCAGGGCTGCCCTGAGGTTGAAAGATGAAGTGTGGAAAGGTGGTGTATGAAGTGCAAGCGCTGTACTAACGTGAGGGACCGCGCCTTAGGTGTGGGTATGCCATGGAAACAGGTGTGTACGTGGGGTGCCGCTTGAAATAAAGGTGACAGTATTGATGCTAATAACAGTGGTTACTGGCATTTCTTGTAGGCTTACCAGTGTGTCAGGTACGGTGCTAAACGTTTCACATACATTATCCTATAATATACAAACATCCCTGTAGGCAGCGTTGTTTATGGTTACAAGTGACTACAACTTAATTTTACAAGTGTGGAAACTGGGCTTTTGCAACAGGTGACGTGATTTGCCCAGGGTCACCCGACAACAAGTGGAGTGGCAGAGCCCTTATTTTTTATTCTATTTGCATTATTTCAAAGCTTTTAAATGGATAATATGTTCTCGTAGTTTTCAACTTTAAAAAAAGGCGGGGCCCTTACTCTTAATTCCTCAGCTCTTCAGTTTCCTCGGAGACAACCAGTGTTACCAGCTTCTTGAATATTGAAAAGATATTCCGTGTATGGGAAAGCCTCTGTGCCTCTTAACTGCTGACTATGCTTGGTAAGAGGAAGGTGAAGCCTCCTCCCCCAAAACGAAGGTCTTGCTTTTGCTCTTGACTAGGCCAGGTGCTGGTGGAGGAGAGGAACATGCATTCGCCATGTTTTACCCAGAATGCCATCTCTCTATATAAGACCTAGAGGTAGAGATTTTTTTTGTTTTGGGAGGGTGGGGGCAGGGCAAGATGTTGAGCCCGCTGCTTTCTGTGGGACCCTAGGAAAGTCACTCCACTTCTTGGGCCATAAATGTCCTCAGTTATTAGTTAAGGGCAGTAGTACCGATACCTTACACAAGGTTGTGAAAACCAAATGAGGTAATGTCTCCCATTTAGGAGTCTTTTTATCACACCACCCATTTCAGAGCTTTGTGATTGAGGGCAGGAGGGCAAGTTTGGTGTGTAGTCTTAAACGGAGGGAAAAGTGCCAGGTAGCATGAGTGTGGGTAGAGTGGAGAGAAAAATACACCTGGTGGGAAACTAGCCCCAAGTGGATAACTGCTCTTAATTATTAAAATTAAATTCCCAGTAAGATATATTTTCTTCCATATTATCTTAAGCCATTTTAAGAGAAACTTTGTGAGTTCAAAGGGATGTTAGTGCTCACATCCCTTTCAGTCTCAGGGTCACTAAAAACTTTCCTGCTAGATGTTTATAACAAAAGTGCCATTTGGGTTACTCTAGACTGAGCTCTGTGCTAAGCATGTCCCTGCCCTATTTCTGATTTTCACAGCTCTCAGCGTGAGTGATAGCTGAATCAGTAAACATTTTGACTGACTTTAAAGCATTTTCATTCTGCCTTTGTATCCAGTTGTCTTTGACTGTTCCCGGGAGTGGGAGTGGAAAGCTCACTACTCTGGAGGCAGCTGTTCCATTATTAAAAAGCGCTGGTGATTTAAAAGCCCCGCCTCACGTTGAATTGAAATCCCACTTCTTGAAGTTTTTCCTTTTGGGGCCTTAATGCTGCCAGTACATAGTGCATACTCCTAAAAGTTTTCTTCTAAACGTGGTCAGTTTAGCCTGTGGCCTTAAGAAAATTCCCTCCAAAGTTAGTTTATTTTTTTTAGAAAAGTAAAAACTGGTGTTTTGGTTTTTTTCATGATGCAGAAATGTTTAATAAATAGAATGCCAATTCAATATACAGCTATAGGGATACCAAACTAAACTGTTCTTGTTGTCTCTGGAAAAGCTCTAGAAGAAATCAGAATGGTGTTTTTTAATCATGCATTCTGCTGAGTTAATGGGATTGCTTTATTAAAATAAAGATTCTTTTTATTTTTTATGACAATCAGAGATGAAGAACTGAAAAACAGCCACCCATAAGAGGTTCTGTAGCTTAAAGGGCACTCTCTAATTGTAAGGGTTTGGGAAAAAATTTCTTAGGAGTTAGGAGAATACATAATTCTTAGAAATGGCTATTTGTTTGTTTTTTAAATAATGGTGCTCACTGAAAATCTTGTTCCTGTCTTCTGTGATGTCTTGAGCACATGGTATGCTGTAGGATGTCTCTTAAGTAAGAATAATGGGAACCTGACCATGTTTTCTTGGGTATTTTAAATTTGTCTTGTGGCCATTTAAATAATTCTGTTTTTGTAAATGGAAGCATTTTTGTAATGAATTTGTGGAAAATTTTATGGGTGTAGGTGTTAGAGGAAACTATTCCCTTTTTCCCTAAAAAATTATTCTGGCAGATGTTTTGATGTATGTTTTTAATTGGCCAATATTTAAGTTATTAGCTGTTGTGACATTGTATAAATGTTCATCTAAAAGGGTTGTTTTTGTCTTGTTGTGAATGCCTTTTTTTAAAGTAAAATTTTTTTGAAGTGTTATAGATTGATTGTTAGGATTGAGAGGCTTGTTATCTTGTTTTAAATTGATAAAACTTTTGGTGAACTGATTATTTTTTGGCATCCAATCAAGTCCTTAAATTAATAAATCCTACCTAGCCCAAACCCTGAGACTTCAAGAGCATTATTTTAAAGTCTATTCACTGTTCTAAAAAACAAAACTAGATTATATAATTGGTTTCTTCTATTTTTTTTGCCTAATAACATTCTTGCAAACTTAATATTGGGAAAATTAATAAAAATGATTCTTATTCACCTTGCATTAACAAAGTTAAAGATGAGATCTAGCTTTTTGTATAGACATATATAGGAAGGAATTTATTTTCCTCTTCCATATTAATTTGGACATTTTAAAAATTAGTCTGATAATCTGGTGGAAAATTGATCAGATTAGAAGGAATGTTTTTTTTTTTTTCTTTTTTAATCATGGAAATGTTAAACATGTAAAAATAAAAAATAAATAATAAATCTTCATCACCCAGCACTATCAACATATGGCCAATCTTGGGGAAAATGGTTTTTACTGATTTGCTTTATTTTTGTTCTTTATCAGTTAGTTTAGTCCCCATTGTTAGAAGTGATTTGACACTTTGACAGGCTGTATTGCTGGATACTGCAAATTTTTTTGTTCCAGTTAGCCCTGGAGCAATTGTCATTGTCCTAAGGGGGTAGGTGGTATAATCACAAAGGCACAGCGCCTCCAGATCACGTTACAAGGTTGTGATGCTCCTGGTTGTAGCTGACTTCAGAGGGAGACAGCTTGATCTGGTTGGAAAATTACTGATCTTGAGAGCACTGGCTTCCAGTCTGTTCTGCTGCTGTTTTAGCTCTGTTGACTATAGGCAAATTACTTATCTCCTCTGATCTGTAACTTCCTTGTCTGCAAAGTGGAGATGATGACACCTGGTTTTTGGTGTTTTGTAAGCATCAAAAATACTAATCTGTTCAGACTTCTAAGACACACACAACTCTGGGGCACATGGTTAAGAGTTGTCACCAACTCACATGAGGCTTATAAAAAATAGACTGCGTAAGGCCAGATAAGGCTTTTGGTAGCTCATGTTCTAACAGGCAGTGCATTAAAGGAAGTGGCAGAACCAGAATACCTGAGCTACCTAGCTTATTAAATCTGCTTATTTTTCTTCCCCAAACATTTATGCCTGTACATCTATTACAAAAGCCAGCAGTGAGTTCTGTGGTTTTGGTAACAGGTCAAAGTGTATCTAGCATGATAACTAATGTGTCAGGTTACTGCTCCAGACTTGCTTTCTGGTTGTCACACCATGGTGCTTAAATTTGTGATTTTTAATGTCTAAATAGAATATATTAAGGGAATCATGTTGTGATGATTTTGATGAAGGAGGGGCATATTATATAAAATACATTGTTTTCATAATGAATGAATGCTTTGTAAATCTTTGTGAAAAATGCATGTAGCATGTGCTAGACTTCAAAAGGAGCAAGTCACACACATCAACATAAGTTTCATTGACTTATGTTTTGGAGATCATGATTTGTTAAAGAATGTTTTCTCAAATGTATTTTCTTTTGTGTGCATGGAAAAATGTTGATACAGTGTATTAACTGTTAAGTTGTAATGTTGTAACTAAGCATAAAGTTGTAATGCCAAAATTTTTATACTAATTTTTAATACTTCATTTGTTAGTAGTCTTGCTTGAACGGTCTTTTGAGCAGAACTAATACAATATTTTGATGTGCCACAGGTAAATTTTTCCATAACCTTATGGAGAGAAAGGACTTTGAGACATGGCTTGATAACATTTCTGTTACATTTCTTTCTCTGACGGACTTGCAGAAAAATGAAACTCTGGATCACCTGATTAGTCTGAGTGGGGCAGTCCAGCTCAGGCACCTCTCTAATAACCTGGAGACTCTCCTCAAACGGGACTTCCTCAAACTCCTGCCCTTGGAGCTCAGTTTTTATTTGTTAAAATGGCTCGATCCTCAGACTTTACTCACATGCTGCCTCGTCTCTAAACAGTGGAATAAGGTGATAAGTGCCTGTACAGAGGTGTGGCAGATTGCGTGTAGAAATTTGGGCTGGCAGATAGATGATTCTGTTCAGGACGCTTTGCACTGGAAGAAGGTTTATTTGAAGGCTATTTTGAGAATGAAGCAACTGGAGGACCATGAAGCCTTTGAAACCTCATCATTAATTGGACACAGTGCCAGAGTGTATGCACTTTATTACAAAGATGGACTTCTGTGTACAGGTAAGGAACCCTGGAACTGCTCTTTTTTTCCTGCCCAATAGTGATTTTGGGGGGAAACCGTTGAAGTTGAGTTTAGTCCAAGCAAGTAGTTAGATCTTCTTGGAAGAATTACAACCTCTCTGTTTTTTGTTTCCTTCTTTGTCTGTCCTAGTTAAGAAGGGAGATCTTTCTTGTTTTAAATTCCTGTGGTGCTAAGAAGAATTAGAAGTTAAGAGTTTGGGCATGGGAACAAATACTGTGGATATTTTAACTAGGCAATTAAGTAATTTCATATAACAAATATCATTAAAATTTAAGATTATGTATATCTTCCAATTATAATGGATATGTGTTTCTACATACAATTATAGTCACTGCCCACATTTTAAGCAGTATATTTTGATAGGCATTGTAAATAATTCTTAGTGTTTCAAATGACTCTCAGCAATTCTTATCAATGACCCCAATACCTATTCCCTTTTTTTGTGTATAACATATAGGGATACTTTGTGTTCTTTCTTCATCTAAGATAATTTCTAGTAAATATTTGAGTATTACCTAAATTATTAAACTATTTTTTATAATGTATACTGTTCTTTTGTGTAAATATATCATCATTATGTAGCCATTTCCATTAATATGCAAACAAGTAAATGTCTTGTTTGCATATTTTCCCCTTGAATTATTTATTTGGGGCAGAAGTCTTAAGGTAGAATCATCAGATCCAGAAATAAGAATGATTTTATAGCTCCTCTTAATATCCTTTCCAGATAGGTTGAATTGATGCCATGTCTACAGCAGTCTTAAATAACCTGCTTCTCCCTCAGAGTTCTATCAGTTTGAATTTTAATATTTATTTTAAAATGTTTATATATAATATATATATGTGTGTGTTTATATATATGTATATATATATGTGTGTGTATATATATATATATATATATATATATATATATATTTAAGAAGTGGAAAAAGCGAGAGAAACATCAGTGTGAGAGAGACACATCCATTGATTGCCTCTCACATGCACCAGGGCTGAAGATGGAATCCAGGTACATGCCCTTGACTGGGAATCAAGAGGCTCTAACTATTCAACCATACTGGCCAATTTTAATATATATTTTTTTAAATATATTTTATTGATTTTTCACAGAGAGGAAGAGAGAGGGATAGAGAGTTAGAAACATCGATGAGAGAGAAACATCGATCAGCTGCCTCTTGCACACTCCCTACTGGAGATGTGCCTGCAACCAAGGTACATGCCCTTGACCGGAATCGAACCCGGGACCTTTCAGTCCACAGGCCGACGTTCTATCCACTGAGCAAAACTGGTCCCGGCTTTAATATGTTTTTTTTATTAAAATATATTTTATTGAGTTTTTACAGAGAGGAGGAGAGAGGGATAGAGAGTTAGAAACATCGATGAGAGAGAAACATTGATCAGCTGCCTCTTGTACAACCCCTACCAGGGATGTGCCTGCAACTAAGGTACATGCCCTTGACCGGAATTGAACCTGGGACCTTCCAGTCCGCAGGCCAACGCTCTATCTGCTGAGCCAAACCAGTCTCGGCCAATTTTAATATATATATATATATATTTAAATATATTTTATTGATTTTTTTAACAGAGAGAAAGGGAGAGAGATAGAGAGCTAGAAACGTCGATGACGATGGAAGAGAAACATCGACCAGCTGCCTCTTGCACACCCCCTACCGGGGATGTGCCTGCAACCAAGGTACATGCCCTTGACTGGAATCAAACCTGGGACCTTTCAGTCCGCAGACCGACGCTCTATCCACTGAGCCAAACCGGCTTCGGCCAATTTTAATATTTTTAATAGTTAAGAGATATATTATTTCTCATGATTGTTTTAAATTTTTATTTCTAACTCATTGAGGATACACATTTTGTTATATTACCCAAAATAGTTTGCTTATAAAATAAACATTAAATGTAAGGCACTTCCTGGTTTTGTTTGTCATACTGAAGTTACTCCATGCTTACCCTATTTTCCTATAAGCATGATTATTGGAACATCATTTGTTCTTTTATTCTTTAATATATTTTCTTAGTTGTGGTGATGGCTTTTCCATGTCTTTTTTGTCTCATAATCAATGACAGGTATTTAAAAAAAATTTTAAAGCTTGAGATACAGTGTTAACTCACTTATACTTAGGTAAAGACTGGCAGTTGACTCATTTTCAGAACCACTTCTAGCTTTAAAAAATCTCATCAAACTTTACATTTGTGTGTGTATGTTAATCCTCACTGAGGATATTTTTTCCACTGATTGTTAGAGAGAATGGAAGGGAGAGGGAGAGTCAGAGAGAGAAAAACATTAATTGATTGCCTCCTGCACATGCCCCACCAGCACTGGGGATCGAGCCTGCAACCAAAATAAATAATTCAATTGTATGTACCCTTGATTGCAACTGAACTGGCGACCCTTCAGTCCATGGGCTCTCACTACTGAGCAACCAGCCAGGGCTCAAACTTTACCTTTGAAATACAATGAAAACTTCACTTACTTGAAGCAGAAGTAAATGGGACACACTCACTGAATTATTTAACTACCCAAAAAGTTAATATTTATAAAAACTGGGCCCAATCTTGCATTTTGCAGTTATTCTGTAGGTGGGTCTCTATGTTCTGTTATTTAAAAAAAAATATGTTTTATTGATTTTTTACAGAGAGGAAAGGAGAGGGAGAGAGAATTAGAAACATCAATCAGGTGCCTCCTGCACACCCGCTACTGGGGATGTGCCCACAACCAGGTACATGCCCTTGACTGGAATCGAACCTGGGACCCCTCAATCTGCAGGCTGACGCTCTATCCACCGAGCCAAACCAGCTGGGGCTGTTATTTTTATTCTGATTAAGTTAATCAGGTTTGCATACTGAAAATCATGCTGTGTCAAAAATAATTCAAAGCATTCATTTAATTTTTTCTAATGTAGCATCATTGAAGGTAAAACCCTATACCAGCAAAAAGATATGACTCGCTGAAGGCTGCACTGTCCAATAACACGTAATGGCTAGCCACTAGCACTTAACAGATTTTGAGGACTAAAATATGGCTAGTTCATATTGAGATGTGAAATACTCATTTTTGGATTTCAAAGACAGGATATAACACATTTTATTTATCTTTTAGTATATTTTTTATTGATTTCAGAGAGGGAGAGAGAAAAACATCGATGATGAGAGAGAATCCTTGATTGGCTGCCTCCTGTACCCCCCTACTGGGGATCAAGCCCGAAATCCGGGCATGTACCCTTGACCAGAATCCGAGCCCTTGGAACTTTCAGTCTGCAGGCTGATGCTCTGTCCACTGAACCAAATGGCTAGGGCTAGCATTTTCTTAATAATTTTTATATTGATTATATGTTGAAATGATAATTTAACGTTAAATTATATTAAATTTTTGTGTTTTTACTTTTTCAATAAAAAATCAAAATTTAAAAATACATGGCTTGCATTATATTTTTATTGAATAGCACTATTCCAGAATATTGGTTCTCAACATACTGCTCATACATTAGAATCACTTGGCAAGCTTTTAAGATTATTGGACTCCTCAGATATTCTAATTTTAGAATTTCTGAAGGTAGGGCCCTGCATATGTGCTTTGATATAGCTCCCCAGATAATTCTGATGTCTTATATCCCCACTGAGAACACCAACCAAATATAGAAAGAAAACAGTCCCTAAACAGTAAAGTTTTCATTTCAGTGTATTCTCATAGGGTTTGCCTAGGTTAAAATTAATTCTTTACTTCATTCATAGTGATAGTTATTTTTCCATTGTCTGAAACAGTGGCTCTTGACCGAACATTAAAGGTAGAATTGTGGCTGGTGTTAATTTAGTCATTTGGGGTTTTTGGCAATGGGTTACTTGGTGCTTCTCTAGACTACTGTGTCCTTGTCATAGTGATGATATTTGTGTCCTCAAAATTTCCCTCGATTTTTTTTTTTTAATTTTTATTTCAGAGAGAAAGAGCGAGGGAGAGAGAGCTAGAAACATCAATGATGAGAGATAATCATTGACTGGCTGCCTCCTGCACACCCCCTACTGGGGATCAAGCCTGCAACCCGGACATATGCCCTTAACTGGAATCGAATCCAGGACCTTCAATCCACAGGCTGCTGCTCTATCCACTTAGCCAAACAGCTAGGGCCCTTTGATTCTTATTACTACTTTTCTAAAGGTAAAATGTGAAATATTAGTAATTAGGATTTTAAATATAATTAAAGCAAAATTCTGAATTGTCACTGTGATCAGTTTAATATTGTCATCAGAGGCAGAAAAGAAACTACTTTTTCTACAGAATCTTAAGAGGCTTTATAAGCTCATTGTTGGGTTGTTGTGGATGCCTGGTAATAATTTATTCTTGGTTATCTTAGAGGTTCCTTTACAAATTTCAAGATGGCCCAAGAAATTAGCAGTTAAACTTCTCAGAAGTTAACCTGTGATCTGAGGCTCCTCTTTGACTTGCCATAGAATAGAACAAGTTCTAGCAACAGTTCTAATAGCGTTCTTTATTTGTTCAGGGTTGGGTAATGGACAAACAGGCAAGTGTACACACGCAGTCATAGGTAATGCCTATGACTTCAAACTCAAATCAGAGCTCAGGATGGTGAGATATTTTATGATATTTTATAAGTGGAAGTACCAAGGGATGCTTTAGTCTAACACTTCTCTATAATCTGGACAGTTACGGGGAAAGGACTAAACCAAAAGCTTGTGTTCAGCCTCCATGTGTGTTAACACCATTTTGGTGACTCTGAATAAGTCCTGTTACACTCCATGCTTTGGTTTTCTCTGCTATAAAGTGGGAATGCTAAAGGAAGTGACCCCAGAGATTCTTGTTTAAGAATACTTTGGTTTGGAAATTGCTTTTCCTTCTTCATTGTTTTCTTACTAATCACTCTGTTTTTCTCTTGAAGGGTCAGATGACTTGTCTGCAAAACTGTGGGATGTGAGCACAGGGCAGTGCGTGTATGGCATACAGACTCATACTTGTGCAGCAGTGAAGTTTGATGAGCAGAAACTTGTGACAGGCTCCTTTGACAACACTGTGGCCTGCTGGGAATGGAGTTCCGGAGCCAGGACCCAGCACTTTCGGGGGCACACAGGGGCTGGTGGGTTGCCCTTTTCCAAGGGTTTACATAGTTATTTTACTCTCATTCCGTAAAGCCAGGAGCAAGAATGTGGTAACTTTTTTGTTTTGTTTTTTTAATTTAACTTGCACTCTCCCCTCTCCTTTCTCAGTCTTGACAATTAATCTCTTTATTCAAGTCATTATTATTTGGTATCTTTCCATGTCCCATTTTAAAACTCTATTTATATATGCTTATGCTGTTAGGGGACAGTTTTTCTCTCCTATTTCATTTATATCCTGTTGAACAGTCAGTCCCCTTTGCCTTTATCAGGTTCCTTACCTCCAAATTGAGTAAGTCCTACACTTACTGGTATATATTCAGTCTACTTTATTTGTAGAAATAGAGCTAAAATCTTTTGGAGTGATTTCTATGATCTGTTGAATTGGACCTTGGTTGACAATAACAAGTCACAACCTAGAGATAAGGTGAAAGAAACAGAATATTTCCTAATAATTTTACAGCAGCCTTAATTTGTAGAAGCTGGATTTAATGATAGCCTAGAGATCTAAGCTGCTTCCTCTGTGCATTGTATTTTGGAATTTTGTCCAGGAATCATATTGAGCTGTTTTCCAACCTCTTGTACAGCAACTCCCTTCCTCCATGTGCACACTGCATTCATCCCTGGAAGTCACATAATGCTCTTAAGCATCACATTTTATGAGTGGCCTTCCTGGACTCCCTAACAAGTTGAGTCTGCTGTAGGTTTCCCTATAATCTGTATTTTTGTCATAACACTCACTATACAAGTAAGTATGATAATCTTGATTTCCTCACCAGGTCATAAGCTCCAAAAAAACAAGGATACTACCTGTCTCCTTCACCCTAAGGTCCCCAAGTTCCTTGCACCATACCTGGTATTCAGTAATTCTTTAAAGTAAACCTAGCTGTTTTATTGCTAAAAGCAAAATTTTTTCCCATTTTTGTTTGACATTCCATACATTTTCCCCCTACTCTCTGCTACCACTTGTTTATTGTAGAAATTAGTATTTGAAGATACTGTGGCTTTTCTTAACTCCATGCCTTTGCTGTTCCCTCTACCTGCATTGTTCTCTTTCTTTTCTTAATAAACTACTCATCCTCAGCACCCATCTTCAGTATTGCCTCTTCCCTGACGTCCTCCCTGATACCCCTCGGCAGAGTTAGTCCTTGGAATTTCCTTAGCAAGCGGTAACTTTCCCCTCCCCTACATCCTCCCTTCTTACTTAGATTGAGGTCCTTAAAGAAAAGACCAATGTCTTTATCTTTGGGTCTCTAATATACCTTTAGAGTTTGGTAGACATTGGAAAACAAATATTTGAGCACTTGCTATATACTCAGGCACTGCTTTAGGTGCTGGAGGTATAGCTGTGAAGAAATGCAGACAGTTTTGAGAGAATGTCTTAGTCTGATCTTTGAGATCCTTGTTTGTGTTTTGTTTTCTCATTACAATGGCTTTTCTTGAGTATAGATATTGGTTTGCAGCTTATATACTTGATGTTTTGTCTAAGTGCAATAAATAGTGTAAATATGACTAGGGCCACCTAGTTCTATTTTCCCTGCATAAGTTAGATAAGTTTTCTGTAGTGTCAGGCAGACATTCTGGAGAAGAATTGCATCATCTCCAACACTGGTTTTGCCTCTCACTTGGAAGCTAACACAGGCATAAAAGGTGATTAGTTCAGTGACTTTTCCATTCTTAGAATAGTAAACAATAACAAGAATTTTGAAATGGATATAATTTTCTTCATAAAGTTTCTAGTTGAGTGGTATCATTCTTATTGTACTCTGGTTGAGAAATTATAAAATTGGTCAACTAGGGAGAATAAACACTATTAAACTCTATTATAAAAGACTCAGACAAGCATGTTTTAACTTTGTATCTGTTATATATTAGTATTTAGTGTCGACTACAATGATGAACTTGATATCTTGGTGAGTGGCTCTGCAGACTTCACTGTGAAAGTATGGGCTTTATCTGCTGGGACATGCCTGAACACACTCACCGGGCACACGGAATGGGTTACCAAGGTAGGGAGACTTGCAAAAGAAATCTCCTTAACATCAGGTTTTGTGGGGGTGGGAGACGGGAGATGGTGCATGCTGCCTTAGAAGTGGTGGGTAAGCCATAAGTTGGATAAATGCAACCACCAAGCATGATGATGTACAACAGTTAAAGACCCTGTAAATATGAATGACTTACGGACATGGAAAGATGCCTACAGTATAATAGGTGTGTACAGGGAGCAAATAAAACAGGTTACATACAAAAAACTATGTAGAATATGATACCATTTTCTTAATGTGTTTATGCACCAAAATGTAGAAGACTATTATTCCTTGTGGAATTGTGGGTGCTTTTTTTCCTTTTAGGATAAGTGTATTTCTTTTTTTAATCAGAAAAGCCACTTTCATTTTGAAAAAGAAAATAATTGCAAGAAGTAGAATAAACATGTATAGGATCTTTAGAAGAGTATTGTGATGTTTTCTAGTTTTCAATAAAAGATTGCTGTAAAGATGGACTGCAGTATTTTTTTTTCTTTCAAATTTTTCCTTTATAACGCACATGCTTATGAAAACAGATGATTTGTATTTATTTCTATGTCTGTGAGCTTTTTTCTGTTCCTCCCATTTTCTATAAAGCAGTGGTCAGCAAACTGTGGCTGTTTGGCCCCTTGAGTGTGGCTCTTCCACAAAATATTACATGTGGGTGTGCGCATACAGTGTGATTGAAACTTTGGCCCACGCACAGAAGTTGGTTTTCGGCTCTCAAAAGAAATTTCAATCGTTGTACTGTTGATATTTGGCTCTGTTGACTAATGAGTTTGCTGACCACTGCTATAAAGTAACATTTTACAGTTTTTAAAACCAGTCCTAATTTTTGCTTTCAGACTAAAACCACGATAAATGCTGCCAACATTAGACATTTTAGAGTCTGCTGATAATTTAGAGACTCTGGTTGTATAATAATAAAACCCTTGGTGGAGGTTAACTTGGTCATAGAGTTTTAGCTCAGCTACTTTAGCATACAATATTATTTAAGCTCTTTTTCATATTTTAATTTTTTTTAAAAGCAATGTAGCAATAGCATTAAAAAGATCTTTCTGTAATGTGGATATTTATATTTCTAGGTAGTTTTGCAGAAGTGCAAAGTTAAGTCTCTCTTGCATAGCCCTGGAGACTACATCCTCTTAAGTGCAGACAAATATGAGATCAAGGTAAGTTTTTTTCTATTGTCATCAAAGAAGGACTAGCCAGTATAAGAACATTAACATTAAAATTAAATTTTAAAGTACGTAGATAGAAATGTCTTAGTCTAAGATAGGGGGATTTTAATTATCTCTTATGTTATGGGCAGTTTCAAACCCTGACTTTTATTTGTTTTACATGTATGTATGTGTTTTGTTTTTTATTTAGAGAGAGAGAGAGAGAACACAGTGTGAGAGAAACATCCACCCACTGCCTCCTGGAGATCGAGCCCAACCTGGGCATATGCCCTGACTGGGAATTGAACTGGCAACCTTTTAGTACATGGAACAGTGCTCAACCAACTGACCCACACAGGCCAGGGCTAACTAATTTTTAAATGAAGAAAAGAAAATCCACAGAAAATAATCTTTAACGTATTCTGTTTTTTTATGACATGTATCTTCTACCCTCCTTAATTCTTAGGTCTGAACTATGAAAACATAAACATTTATTTGTATACTAAAAAAAATTGAAAAAAGTTAGTAATCTTAGTGCAACTTTAAATTGTTCCGTGTGGTAGACATTATTATCCTCATTGTGGGAACTGAGGTTCAGAGAGATTAAGTATTTAATCCAAGGCAGCACAGCACATACATACAAAATCAGAGTTTGAACTCAACTGTAAAATCTGTTTTTCTAGTTTACTTCACTTTATATCTGACTTCAGCAGGCAAAAGCCACATTAAGGGGACAGGCTTTTCTATGGTGATGCATCTGTCATCTCTCCTGATTTTCTTTTATCTGTAGATTTGGCCAATTGGGAGAGAAATCAACTGCAAGTGCTTGAAGACGCTGTCTGTCTCTGAAGATAGAAGTATCTGCCTGCAGCCAAGACTTCATTTTGATGGCAAATACATCGTCTGTAGTTCAGCACTGGGCCTCTACCAATGGGACTTTGCCAGTTATGATATTCTCAGGTAATGTTTCCTTGGACCTTTACCTTTGACAATTCTTTGCGGTTTCTTTATTTTTTTGTTGCAGTTTAATATTAAAGAAAAGACTATTGGGTAAACGAGTCACTTGCTTTAAGGAAATCTTTACATAGTTATAAACAGGGTTATATGCTGAAAACCTCAGACATAAAAAAAGTGTTTCAGAGACATAATTATAATAGAAAGGTTTATATTCTAGAACCTAGTTTCTAATTCTTCCCCTAACTGTGAGTTACTGCCTCTTTCAGAATTAACAAGCTTTTCTGGAAAATGAGGGTGTTGGATGGAAAGATCTTTTACAACTCCTCCAGCTCTAATAATTTAATTTCTGCTTCCTAATTAGTTGAAATTTTTTATTAAAGGATTGAGTGGCTTTCTGTTGACTAGGAGAAACACAGGTATTTAGAGAAAAACAAACTTGCAGAGAAATAAATAAGAAAAGGTCCATGGACAAACAATTTCGTGAGACCACTCTTGGAGATTGGTGGTATCTGTTAGCATTTGGAGTCTAATGGAAGCCAGCACCATATGGTGATTAAGAGAACTTACTTTGGTGATAAACAAACCTTGATTTAAGATCTAGTGCCATCACTTATGAGCTGTGTCATATTATGTAAGTGTAAGTTTCTTAATCTCTCTGCCTTAGTTTCTTACCTGTAAAATAAAGAGTAAATGAAATGCCTATAATGATGACCTAGCACAAGACCTGGTAGGTATTCAATACTAATAGCTCTGAGAAGTCCTACATAAAGAAACCTGTTTGAATTTGTTTAACCTACTTTACCTAACATTTATAGTACTAAAGCTCCTCTCTCCTCCCCTCCCCCTCTTTTTTTTTTTTTTTTTGAGGAACACTTATTAACAGCACACAAGAGTTAGTGTTCCACAGCATGGTTCAGGAAATGCTGGCTTGGGGAAGTAGAGAAAATTGAACATTCTCTTCATTGTTTTTATGCATGACTGTTTGAGGTCAGCTCATATGGGATCTGAGCCTATTAGCCAACAGGACTCTTTGATGGGCCCTGTCTCTGTGCTCATAAAGGTTGTAACAATCCCATTTATGTCTCCCTGAAGGCAGACCTACATTTCTAATCAATTAGGTTGTCAAGCTGTCTATGCTTTGAGGAATAAAAGAACAGATCCTGGAAAACTAGTCCAAGCTCTTCATCTTGTAGATGTGGAAACTGAAGAGGAGAGAGTATAGGGACCTTGCCCATTATCCCACAGCACACCCTAGTTCAGCATCCATCATTCATCCATCCATTCATCCATCCATCCATCCATCCATCTCATCCATTTATCCACAGCTGGGTCATATAGCAAGCATGTGCTTAAAATACTACAAGCCACAGAGAAGGAACTTTTGAAAGAACTTGATACTCTACAAAGAAAAAAATCTAAGCAGTCATCATGGGGAAATCAGATCATTTGCAGTTTAATTTTGTTTATGTTTTGAATTAAAATTGGGGAGGAAATGATGCAAAGATAAGGTAAAAATAGAGGTATCACCGTCTTTTAAATGCTTAGAGTCTCTAAAGGTTTTAATTTTATCCTTTCTCGTGTATTCTTACTCAGAATATACAGTAAAGAGTCCAGAGTCCTGGTGAAAGTTCTTTTAGGTTTTGGTATTTGGAGCCACTAGTTTTAAATAGTAAATCTACAAGATTGTTTACTGCTAGGAAGTGATAGGTTCAGATTTTCTTTGAAGGTGGCTATTTTTTCTCTTGCTTCTCCTTCCCCTCAAACACAAATAAATCAACCTCTTTTGAAATCTTAGTACAAATCCTGAGGCCTCAGTTGCCAAGACCAGGTAGGGCTACTTACTCTTAGAAGCAAACTGAAAACAGGAAATTACAAAGGGCAGCAAGTTGTTCAATTCATCTAAAATGCAGTCACTTGAACTGGGACTGCACCACAAGGATGTCCTTTTATAATTCTCAAGTTATTAAAAAGTGCTACTGTGAGCCAGTCAAAACCTCTTTTCTGCCCTAACTGGTTTGGCTCAGTGGATAGAGCTTCAGCCTGCAGACTCAAGGGTTCCAGGTTTAATTCCTGTCAGGGTCATGTACCTTGGTTACAGGCACATCCCCAGTAGGGGGTGCAGGAAGCAGCTGATTGATGTATCTCTCTCATAAGTGTTTCTAGCTCTCTATCTCTCTCCCTTCCTCTCTCTAAAAATCAATAAAATATTAAACACACACATACACACACACACACACAGAAACACTTCTATTTTATTCTCTAGCATATTTGTGCTTCAGTCTTTGGAGTCACCTCATCTCACTTTACCAGGATAAAGTTCTATCCTCTAGTTTTCTAAGTTGCTGATTATTTCCTGCTTTGCATTGATGTGGGACTAATAGATTTTCTTGCTGTTTTTCCCAGTTTCTTTCGGATCTCTTTTGTAGGAATTTTTATTTGTCTGTGTTCATTGCACCATTGCTCTGTTTATTAGCAGATATTTATTGAGTACCTCCCTGTGTTAGGCATTGTGATGTACTCTGGGAACTAACAGAAATATTTACCAAACTGGAAATTACTAGCCAGCAGAATGGAAGACTGACATTAAAGAGCTAATAACAGGTAGATGTGTTGATGGTTATGATAAGAGCAACATAGTATTAGGTACTTGGAGATCTCACCTAGTTTGAGGAATGAGGAAAGCTTCCTTAAGGAAGAAGTTTGGGCTGAGTTCTAAGAATGAGTATTTGCACTGACTCAGTGCCAGGGACACAGTGAGGAGCATTGTAGGCTGAGAGACCAGTCTGGTTAGAGGCCTTGAGACTGAAGGAGCCTGCCCCGTGCACTTAAGGAACCAATGTGGCTGAAGATAGGAGTTCAGTAGAGAGCCCTAGAAGGGTTTAAAATTTAAATGAGATGCTAATAGAATTAGATTTTAGTGTGAGCTTAACTAATTGAAAGGGGCCAAGAATAGATATAGGGAGACCAATTGAAAACACTTGGCAGTTGTGCAGTTGAAAGATGATGTCTTAGCTCAGAATTGTGACAATTCTGATAGTTAAAATCAGTAGATCTCCGTGTTTGAATTTATGGTTTCAGTAAGGAAAAGAGGTGGATGCTTGCCATGTTTCCTAGCTTGAGCAACTGGGTGAATGAGCAACCACGGATATAAAGAAGAGAAACAGGTTTGGTTAATAATAAGTTCAGTCCAGGACAGGTTGAGTGTGAGAAACAGGCCTTCTTCACTACTAAATCCCCTCCCTAATACCAAACTGAAGTTGCTTCTGTGTAATTCTCTTCCCTTGGGCCCTAGTTCTCTCTTCTAGAGCTTGCAATATCTTGCCTCTCACACATCCTTTACTCCTTTAAGATGATGATCATGTATACTTTCTCTGTCCCTGCCAATTCTCTTCCTCCCCCTCTTAGCCGATCTCCTTCAGCCGTTTCTAGCTTTTCCTGGTTAGCAGGTTCTGCCGTCTGGTTGACTCTTGGACATAACACTAGATGGTAGCATCCCTGTTAACCCGGCCCTTCATGGGGCCCAAACTTACTGCCCAGGGCAGGATTTGTAGATTCCTCTTGTAGCTCTTTTCCTTGGGCCTCTAAAGATAACGTCAACTTTTCTTGTCCATCTTTTATCTCACTAAAGGTATAGACAACAGAGACTTAAGGTTTTTTTCTGTGCTACCCTTTTCCTAGATCTTTCCAATTTTATACCTTTGTCATTGATGTTTTGGGAACTGTGAACCTGAGAAGGTTAAGGTTATCCTTCCAACTCCCCATATTCTCTAGCAAATTCTTATGAATATATTATTAATGTTTCTGGATTACTTGGAAAACTTAATATTTTTAGTCCCTACCCTTTTAAAGAAAAACCTATGTGTTTGCTACCTGCTGAGAGTAGCCTCTAGGCTAGTGTTCAAGGATTTGATGAATAAATCTTTTCACCTAGTGGTAAGGGTTGACTCTTACATTTGAGTTCTCTCTGGTACTTGATTAGTTGTGAATCCTTAGACAGAGTATATTTATCCTGGCTGGACTTTAGTTTTTACGTCTTAGAAATGAAAATGTCACATGAGTATGTATACAAGAGATCCTTTCCATCTTAGATGGGCATTTGTGCTTTTACAACTGTTTGTCAAATACTGCCTTCCTCCTTACATGCCTGTGTTATAATATTATGAATTCTTACCCACTTTCCCCCCCTTGTTTTAAAATAGGCTGAACTTTTTGTCCTTGTATTTTCCTTTTTATCAAAAACTTTCATTTAACTCTCTAAACTTGCTTGAATTGTATATTGCTTTTAAATGTCTCCAGAAAAGATTACAGTAGCATAAACAAAAGCAAAGTTAGTTACCTTCTGGTTTATGTTACTTATTCTCATCCTTGTAGAGTTATCAAGACTCCCGAGATAGCAAACTTGGCCTTGCTTGGTTTTGGAGATGTCTTTGCCCTGCTGTTTGACAACCGCTACCTATATATCATGGACTTGCGGACAGAGAGCCTGATTAGCCGCTGGCCCCTGCCAGAGTACAGGAAGTCAAAGAGAGGCTCAAGCTTCCTGGCAGGCGAAGCTTCCTGGCTGAATGGACTGGATGGGCACAATGACACGGGCTTGGTCTTTGCCACCAGCATGCCTGATCACAGTATTCACCTGGTGTTGTGGAAGGAGCACGGCTGATGCCATGAGCCACCACCGCTGACTGACTTTGGGTGCCGGGGCTGCAGGGTTTGAGTGCAACCTCTATGGCAGCCGACTGCATGAACCAAAGTTCTCACCTAACGGTATCATCACGCAGTGCACAATCATTTATCTGTTTGCCAGAGGGCCCGGGCTCTGGGTGGGGGAGGGCTCGTTTTACTGACATACATCACAGCATGCTAATGGGATACATCATTGACTTCATTTGTATTTAGTTATGTTGGTCAGAATAAGAGTATGCATTTTGGGTTCATCTTTCTTGAATATTGGTTTTAAGTAAAGAAATTTAAATGGTTCATTAATATGCTAATTGGTTGCCTATAAAAACACATTCAGTCTATTATTAAAGCTTTTTATCATTGCCTTTTTTTCTTTTGAAGTTGAAGCAACGGTGCTATGATGTTTTACAACTTTCTCACATGGAGCTTAGCTTTTATAACAGTGTTATAAAGACCACCAAGTCCTGTGACATTCAAAACTCTCTACCAAATACCAGCTCTAAAGAAAATCTGTCTTCCAGTACAAATCCAAGTCTATAAATTGATTGTAATGTAGTCTAATCTCTGGTTCTTGGCAGAGTCAACGTTAGCCACAGCTGAGCTGTGAGGGAGTTCTGTCATTTCTGTTTATATCTGGAGCAAGCTGATTCTCAGTCTCCCCGGTAACTGCACAGAGGTGACATGGTGGAGTGGAAGATTGAAGACTGGCTCTCTTACCTAGGCATGTCACTCCCCTGGCCCTTTCTCCCTGTCTGTATAGCTAGTGGTTAAGCTCAGTGATTTGTAAGATTATTTTTGGTTCTGCATCTGCTGAATTGTGCAGAAGTTGACATTTGTTTTGTCTGATTTCTGATTCATTTGTTTCTTTGGGGTTGGAGATAATATATAAATGAAATCACTGATACAAAATTGTCATTTATAAGGAAATAAAATGTATGAAAAGGATGGCTAAAAGGAGAATGTAGAAAATACACATATTCCACTTAGAAGATGTAAATAATTGGTGGAAGAAATGCTCATAGGAGTTGTGGTTCTGTAGAAAGGCGATGTGCTACATTAGAAAGGCCCCTGGCCCCGGTATCTTCCCCTTTGGCCTCTAACTTGATGTGTGGCTTCACGCAGATTAACTCTGTCCCTGGGCCCTCTTTTTTTTTTTTTTTTTTTTTTTTTTTTTTTAAATCAGACAATGAAGGAATTGCCCTAGATTAGGGTTCACAAACTCACATAAAACATAAATGAGTGATGCATGCTGGGTAGGATTGTGCTGACCCATGGAAAGCTTATTGAATAGGGCAGTTACTCAGCTTAAGTGTTAGGCATAAATGAACTCAATGTTAGCAGGTCTGCTCTTTCAGGAGGAAGTAGAAATCCAGAATTTTATTGGAAAGGCCCTGATTTTAAAAAATGTTTTCAACTAATTGAAGATAATTTAAAATACAGTGTGCTAAACAAATCGTATATATGGGCTGTCAGTTGGTATCCTCCAGCTCTCATTCCTGTAAAGTTAAAGAATACTGTGCTTCAGCAGTAGAAATGTTTTATCATAATTGTCTGACCAACTGTCCCATTGTGTTACAGAGGAGTGAGGGGCTCATGTTTCATTCACAGACAGGAAAGTAGTTTAGAGACAACACAAGAACTAGCACCTCAGTGAGTGCTTCTGCCTGGGAACATGAATTATTCATTCTTCTTGCTGACTATAATTAAAGCATATCTTAGGTGGGGCAAAGGGGTTCCCAGCAGAGCTGAGAATGAGGCAGACTTAATAGTGGAAGAAGGTGGGGGGACAGCTCTCCCAGAATCTGCATTAGCAAGAGCCTGACATTGGACCTCTGACTGCTGTGGAGTTTAGAGAATTGAAGGTCAGTTTCAAGGACAGGTTTAGTTAAAACCCATGTTGACACTAAAGGAATTCGGTAAAAGAACAATATCTTCATCCACCTCATACTGAGTTCTGTGTGTGAGCTCTGCTTGGTCCTCTAAAGAAATGGAATTGTAGCTGCAGTCTGTTTTGCAGGAGCCTCAGGAGACTGGGCAGTGAGGATAAATGACTTTTTCCCTCTAGTGCGGCTAAACAGATTACTGATTTTATGGCCATTCCTACTCCCACCTCATTCTGAGATATATTCAGTAGCTTCAAAGAGCAAGTAATTCGTATCATAGTCATTTGTGGGGAATTGTTTTTGGAAATGACAAACCTGAAACTTGTACGGTGTGTTCTCTTTCCAAGTTCAGTGTGAATAGCGAAGTTCTCAAGGTGGTGCTTAGTGGGGCCGATTTTGACAGCAGTCCTTGGGGTAAGGTTTGGAGTCCTAACCGAGTCCTCCTCACAGCTTCCTTCATTGCACCAGGGCATTTTACTTGATTTCTTTATAGATGCTAGATTTAGTCATATTATTTCCAGCTTTTATAAAAAACGGGATACTAACTAACTCATCCTTTAAAAAGATTGAACAATGGGGAGTCGGTAAAAGAAGTGGTCCAGGGATAAGAAGCTGTGGTTGCTTAGCTTTCTTTCACTGAGTTAGGGGGCTGCCTTCCACACACGGCAACGTCTGCTTCCTTAGCTTGGAGGCAAGGGATTGCCTTTGCTGCATCTGTGAAATTCTCATTGCTGAAAAATTCCAAAGTCATGAGCAGATGGACTCCATCTTTATTCGCATTGGATATCTTGAGTGACCCTGAGTTTGGGGGAAGAGAAGGGTTCATACAGGCACATAACAACCGGGCTCCAGGGTGCAGGGGTCCGGGACAGCTGAGTGAGCATGAAGTTTGTAGCCAACTTTGTTCCCATTACAAAGGAAGCTAGTTTCCTCCGGCCTGGCCCTATTATTTGAAACCCTCATTGTTGTCAAAACTGGTTCTAACTTCCTTCAGAAAGGGGGCTCCATTTTGAAGAAGTTCAAAGGAAGGTTCATATGTTTGGATAGCTTCTCCTGAGTGGAAGGTAGAGACTGTTGCTATTCAGTTTTAAGGTTTGCATTTAATTTTTCATAGTTTAAAAATTATTCTGGCCATTGAAAATGCTTAGTGTAAAGTGTAATTGAGGATTGTGTGATTATACTAGTATTTGCTCTCAGGAGAATGACCACTGCATTTATAAAATATCTGTATTTATAAAATATCTTAGGGAGAAAAGAAATACATGTGGAAACAGTATTATTTTAGACATGAAGAAATTGTTTCTGTTAGATTAGACTTTTTGCCCAAGCAAAAGAAGTTAAGGATAGTGGAGTTTGGCTTTACTTGTTTTGGCCAAATCCATACAGCTAGCTCCTTGAAGCTATGGTTGCGTGCTCTGGCTTCTTGGGACGCTCGGGTTATGTTTTCCCACCACCACTTCTAGCTTTCTGTGCCTCCTTCCCTGGGCCTCTTGCAGGCCTAGGTGATTGAATCACCTGCCTTTCTCTGCAGGAAAATGTGCAGAATCAGATCACTGCTCCAGAATGCAGCCTGGGGTAGGGCACTCTGTCACCCTTGTCTTTAGGGACACGGAGTTGTCAGGATAGGGGAGAAGTCCTTTATGTCTCTCCTCCTACTCAGCCTTTGTATCTGGTTATGCTGGTGGTTGACAGGATATTGAAGACAGCCGAGACACTGTTGAGAATTACTCAATCCCCAGATGGAGTGTCTGATAAAAGGAACAGAAATGTCCACTAGTGGTTTTTGGCAGGGTCTCTGACCAGAGGTTCCCTGTGAATTTTTTCAGGATCAGTCCTTATGTGGGTGGGTGCCTGAATAGTCTTGGGCCACTCCTATCAGCCAAATCAAGCTGAATGATCATGCTCCTGCAAAAAGATGTTTTGCTGTCAAGTTATTTCAGTGTGCTACCAGACTTCTCTAGATGGTTTCCTTGTTTTAAGTTAGTGCTACAGGCCTGACCATTGTAAACGCACTGAATTATTATAGCTGAAAGAATCAGCTACTTCTCTTTAGGAATATGCTCAAATAAAAATGTTTGCATTTTAAAAATATATATTTTTATTAATTTCAGAGAGGAAGGGAGAGGGGAAGAGAGAGAGGAACATCAATGATGAGAAAGAATCATTGATCTGCTGCCTTCTGCACACCTCCTACTGGGAATCGAGCCCACAACCCCAGGCATGTACCCTTGATCAGAATAGAACTTGGGCCTTTTCAGTCTGCATGCCGATGCTCTATCCACTGAGCCAAACTGGCTAGGGCTGTGTTTGCATTTTTAGTCTAGGCAAATTATTCAGATGATACCATCTCAACAGTTTTTTGGAGTCCCTGTACTCACATTGTGAACAAACACATTTCATTAATTTAGATGTAATACTCTCGATGAGAAGGCTCGGGTTGAAAATCCAACATCTAGGCAATGTGGCCAGTTTCGTCAACTCATGTTTCCCTAGTTTGATGTATGTTGTGGTCCAGGGGGAATGAGGGGAAGTTTATATTTGAACTGTGTGGGGCAGGGGGGAGTAGGAATTGCTTAAGTAGTAGAGTGATTGGGTTACAAGGTGTCTCTATAAGACATTTCCATGCATCAGAGAACTTTCTTTTAACCATGAGTGATCGTGCTAACTATAAGTAATTTATTCCTATACATTAAAACAGGTTCTTCAATTAGGCAACATTTGGTTAGCCACGCTCAAGTTATTGTTTGTACTTGAAAATAATAAAGCTGCATTTCCTTAAAAATACATTCTGTAAAGACTATTTTCTTGTCTTCCTTCCCCCCCTAACCAATTTAGAGGGGACTTTTCAGAAGTGAATGTGTTTTTAGAGATGGAACTGCCTCTCGTAATCGGAAGTGGCTCTGTTCCTTTACTTTTTCTGCATGTACTAGAGTATAAGCCCAACAATATACTGATTTAGGATGAGATCCAAGAGGGAAAACAATATTCTTAAAATGCAAGGAAGGAATTTTGGTGACTCATGTGTAGATGTAAATGAAAAGAAGAAAAAGTACCATTACATAGTTCAAGACCTTGAAATTATCTTCCTCTCTTTTGT